TGATTAATGTGGTGTGAAACTTGTGGCCACGACAAGCTGTGAACTAAATAACTGGGAGATTTAGATTTGGGGAAAAATAAACAGAGGGGATATTGCGCATTAGTGAATTGTATTATGTTGAAAACCAACATATTCCATCACATCACTTCCAGCCAGGTTTTTCAAGCATTGTGTTCACATTTCTTTTTATGATTCTCAGCTCTCACGTCTCATCGTTAGCCCCATTTTGCCATTTAGATCTTTTAAAACTGGCAATAGCATGTATATATAAATGAAGTGTGGATGTGATGTGATGACAAAAGTTCAAAGAAAGAATGCTTTGCTGTTAAGAGTAAAACTAAAAATTTCTAAATGTAATTTGTGTCAAACTTGAGATGAGACAAAACTAAAAACTAACACTGTCACAATGAAAATGTCTTTACTTTTAAATCTCAGTGGGCACTATTGAAGCTTTTTAGATAACTGTCTGGCAGGTCAAATCTATTTGAAAAACAAACCAGATTTATGTGGTGAATAAAGACAAGTACTTTTTTAAATAAATAATGCTTTCAACCAAACGAGTTACTGGCGAGGAATTCATTGAGTTCATAGTGGGGCTCAGAATCCTGCAGCCTCTAGAATTTGAACTTCAGAAATCAGGAAGGAACCAACTGAAGGAGAAGCAGTCTGTCTCCTTAAGTAGAGTCCTCTCAATTTTTATAATATATATTTATATAATTCATAAGCTTAAAAGCTAATTAAACACTGTAAATGAAGCAAGTATCCTATGGACCAACTCTGCCAACTTGAAGCCTTAAAGAAATCCTGACCTGCCCTCATGGTGTTGATGAGCTCTGCCGCTGTCAGTTCTGTTTTCGGTGTCAGCTAAATTTCCTTGCATCTGAGGTCAAAGCATCTCTTTGCATTTCTCTAAGCTTTTCACATATTTCATACTCATTTTCTTCAGATCACAATAAAAGAAAGGCTTCTGGGTGTCATTGCTCATGGAACTTCATTTGTTGCTCAGTAAAACTTTATTTGGGTTAAGCAATTTTGTTTATGACTTCATCCTTCAACTTTCATATGTTATGAAAAGAAAGCGAAAGAGAGAATGGAACAAACATATTGCCAGAAAACCAAAAGAAGTCACTGTAAAATTTGCTACCATTAGATCAGATTTCTAAAAATTAATATAAGTCTTATAAAAAGCCACATTTGTTGGCCTTGATCTCAAATGAGAAAACATGACATGTTGAATTTACCATTCCAATGAGGGTCAAAGTTGTGGTGATATCCATCACTGTAGAGTGTTGTTACAACTCTATAAAGCTGTATTTCAGGCAAAAGGGAAACTTAAGCTCATACTCTTATTAAGTAGAGTATATATTTGTCTTTAAAAGGCACTATACTATAATTCAACATTATAACTGCCATTTTGGTGCATTGAATCCAGTCTAAAAAGAAATACTGAAACTACTTTCTACTCAAAACCTACTCAAAGGCTTAAAGGGGAGTCCCCTTTAGGCCTTCATCAGTTTTTCTCTTTCTGTTTAGTCAAGCCAACCAGAGCCTGTGCTCTATCACTCAGCCAGTGATCCAGTTTTGACTTAAAGCAGAGGCTCTACAAGTGAGCCAGGCTGAAATATTATCCACAAATGCACACATTCGCATGGGCATGGACATGAACTTCAATGCACTGTCGCTGAGTTGCGAAACAACTTCTTTCACACTAACAGCCTTTTTAACGATGTCTGCTTTGCTCTGTCGTAGATCAGAAAAAGCTCGAGAAACTTCACTGAAATCGTCTGCATCATGTATTTCTCACAAAGGAAATAGAGGATGTTAAGGTGCAAAATAATTTCTGCAGCAGTATGTTAATTGCTTGCTAAACAAGTGTGATGAAGTAATAACCTAATTGTATAATCAACTATAAAACTATGTCACTTTTTGGTTCTGTTTTTATGCAGCCCATTAAAAATCTTCTATTATCATAAAATAGTAAGAGTTTTATTTAAAATATATATAGAAACTTCCTATTTTCTAGACTTGCATCTTTATTCTCTTCAGCCAATTCTTTTGAACACACTTTGCTGGAATGCTTTTCTTTCAGCTGTACATGATCAGACTAAGTTATTCAGAGGATTGATTAATGTGTTTTTATTAAATAAATCCACTATCCTTACGAATCCAGAAACCAGCAGGTGTTATTCCAGGTCTGTTGGCTGATTCAGTTGAAGAGTTGAAGATTATCCTTTTTTTATGTATTTTATGTCATTACTCAATTTAAAAGAATGTTTTTTTCAGTGGACGTCTCATCATTTATTAAATGTTAGAAGGAACCTTTTCAGCTGAAAATAAACAATCTGTGAGACACATGCGAGAGAATCAGTCAGTACAAAGTTCTGTCATAACCTTATCAAACACAGGTGCTCTGCTGCTTACTGCTGCTGCACTACTATAACTCCAGAGTTGGTTATAAACTGTGAAGAGAGGTGAGCTGATTGAACATCTGCATAAAAGATGGATTCCATAGTTTCATATAAAAAAACAAACAAACTGAAACAAGAAGGTTTCACCTGCCATACGAAAGGGCAACAAAAGTTAAGGAATAAAATGCCAAATGGTCACATTAAGCATCAGGCAGAGTTACAGTGATATCAATAACATTTTCTCTTGTTATCCATCTGGAGAGAGTCCATGTAGACACAGGGAGAACATATAAACTCCAGACAGAAAGGTCCCTGTCCCCGTCCCTCAGGGACCTAAACTAGGAACCCTCTAGCTGTGAGCCGCCAGCGCTAACACATCTACATTCTTGTTATAAAACTTCAAATTATTTGCTCTCTTAATCTTTATTAGGGTTTAATTCAATGCTATTTAATGACATTTCTATCACAGAAAAGAAGAGAATAACAAAATACAATTTAGTTGGTTTTGGAAAAATGAATGGCACGTAAATTTGTCGCTAACATTTACCCAAATGTCAAGCAAATTACTTACATATTCCCTCTCTCACTTTTCTAGCCTAATATCCAATATGCCATGGGGTTCACTGTTATATAATTGCTTTCAACCTTTGGTCTGCTGTTTTCCTGCTAACTGTTATTAGTTTGTCCGATGAGAGATGGATGGTCAGTCCTTGTCCCGTTGAATTCCTGCATGCATTTTCTGAGTAATGCTAATCCATTTAGATGTTTTCTTGAGTGATCTTGCTCTGCACAATTACACTAGACACTTTAATGTAAATCACGTGAGAAAAGTTCAGCGCTATAGTCCAGCCAAAAAGTGCTCTTTATATTTTGGAAAACGTAAAACCTTTGAATTAAAATATATCATTTAATGTATTAAGGGTATTTGTTACTGATTAAATATGACAGAGTTGATTATGTAAACTGTATTTAGAGTTAGTTCTTGTCAAAATAGTGTTAGCTTTTTATGAGGGGAAGGTAAAGTTTCCCTGAGGAACTATATGCATTGATGATTTATCGGTCCATCAGAAAAATCACAGGGTAGGCTTCTGCTACTGCACCTGTAGAAAAATCTTAACTGGTGCTGTTAAAGACATCTTAAATCATGTTGCTACTTTAATACTATGTATGGCTTGTAAATACAAAAGATTATGTATAGATAAAAGCAGGCACCATTTGCATTTCAAGGGAAGAAGTAAAAGTTCCAAGGGTCTGTAATACAGTTTCAGTTGATACACACTTACAACAGTTGGGACATAAGTGAAGTGATCTTGAAAAATATTTTGACATCATTTATCTGTGTTTAAATAAGGTCAATAAAATTTCAAGTTTATTCAAATGACTGAAATAAGCAATGTCATACATTTTTCTCTGTTTGGACTTTAGATTTGAGATTTAAAAAGGATAATTTATCACTGTGGATTGCTGATGAAGACATTTCCATTTTCATCCGCATGAAAATGAACAGAGTACATTCCTTAGTCTCCCTGCTGTATAAACTGAATACTTGATGGCGCCTCTCCAGACTAAAGTCTCTATGAACTTGCCTACCTTTGTTTTGAGCCACACTTGTATAACTAGCTGCACACACTATGAAGACAGAATCATCACAACAAGGTACACTTAACATCAAACTGAAATGCTAAGAGCTTGTATCAGTTCTGTGTTTCAGAAAATGACTGGCCTGATGGAGCACTGATGTTCAACTGGAATACATTTCTTTTTCGTCTTTTTTTGCAAAACACTTGGTTTCAAACTTCTTTTAAAAGAGCATAAAGACAGTAATAAATAATAATATTACAAAAAGCTATTCTTATTTTTTTATTGAAATAGCCTAATTTTAACAAGGCAAATATGCATGTACAGGGTTGCAGCAGATGTAAACTAATTGAACAGACAAAATACAAATTAACTGAAATAAACCTTGCAATTTAATAACTTGAAAAGTTAACCCTTTCATTCTGCCTTTCAGTCATCAAACGCTTAGGCTAAGTAGGAATAAATGTTGGCATATCTAAATGTCCAATGAAAACCTTTGTTGCACCCTCTTCTGGAATAAATTGAGAATAGCAATACTACATGACTAGAGGTAGTTAGATATAGTTCACATTATTTATCTTTCTTATCACCTAACCACACCTCCTTCTCCAACGTCTCTTGATTGAATCATTTCACCTGATTGATTTGATATATTTCACTAAATCGACTTTAACATACTTTGAAATCTATAAATATGGTATGTTTTTCTTTCAATTGTTTTTTCTTTTTACTGTTTTCTTTTAAAATTCTTTGAAGCTCACTCTCACGCAAATAACCTAAAATAATAAACCGAATAACATATCGTTTAACACATTGCGGGTCGGAGTTTCTGATTGGTTCTTGTCACTGTCGCCCTTGTGATGACGTTCTTCCTTTTTCACTGTAGGGACACGTGCAGCCTTAGCCCTGTTGAACTGAAGGGACTAACAGCAGCCAAACTACTATTTCCAGACAACTTAGTCTGGTTTCCTTATTTTTTTGTTTGAGGAGAGCTTTCCCGACTAAGCAGTCAAAATGGTGAAACCTCGGTTTAAGGGTAAAAGCTCGATAAACCCCTCTTCGTCCAGCAGTAACCCTGGTGAGTTAAGCCTTCGTTAGCCACACCGTTTGTTTACGCCGAGTGCGAATTGTTGCTAGCAGGGGGCAAGTAGGAAACATATTAATGCCCTGTTTGGTGTGTAGAATTAGACAAAAATATGACTGGTGGTATATGTGAAGTGGTGCTACTCGCTAATGTCCCGGGATTAAAGCTAACTTTAGCTTCTTATCACATATGGCAGACAGGCTAGTGTCACTTGTGCGATTGAAACTCAGGTAATGTGTTGGTGGCAACTTCATACTCCATTAAAATGAATTATGTACTTTATTACACGCGTTGTCATGTATCTATTGCGTTGATTGTTTTGCCTTAATTTTTCTTACAAATGTATCAACAATTTAAAGTACATTTACTGTAAATCGTGTCGTTTTTATTATTACATAGGTGCGAAAAACAAAGGGCTAACAAAAAAATAACTATATGATCATATTACAGCAGTGTTACAACCATCACTGTGCAGACACCAAAAGCTTTCAGATCCTCCTTCAACAGTTATGTAGTATCGATCAAGCTCTGTGATGCTCTGCAGGACGCCATTTATCAGTGTGATTGTTAAATGTATGCTTATTTGTATTCAGGACAGGGCTGTCATCCATCTGACAGCAAAGTCAACAACAATAAACGGTTTTGAATTGAGTACAACGTCCTCTCCATACATGTGCAGTACACATAACTTTGGTTGACTAGGTACTCCAACAATATTCAACATAGTTTGATAAACTTTCTTCCCATATTTCTGTCATTTTGAACAATTATGTCCACAGTGCTAACCTTGGTGCGTGGATGCCCAAAGCTGGCCTTCAAGGGCAGCTGTTCTGCAAGTTTTACAGGTTTCCCAGCTCCAGCATACCTGATTTTTGTCAGCGTGCCATTATCAGGCTTGTGCACAGCTTTTGAATAGGTCCATTTCATCAGAATCAGGTGTGCTGAAAAAGGGAAATGTGTAAAACCTGCAGGACAGCAGCCCCCGGAAGACATCCGTGCATTTTTGCAATGATATGGAAAGTCTGAGTACCTGCGATTCTGGCTGGCTGGTGTAACATAAGCTATCATCACTACGAAAACCTCTTCCTCATATTGATTTTAAGCTAAATGGGTTTTCATTTATGTATTTTCCCCATACCTCTACTCTGTCATTGCTAGATTTATTATCATGAGTAAACAGACTTCAAAACAAGGACATTAGACTCTTTCCCTTTCAGTGCAATCCACAAAGTGCAATGTTTTTATAGGGGATAATTAGGGTTTCAATAGTTTTGTGTGCGTTTCTTTCAATTTTTAGAAAACATTAAATTTGGGGTTTAGTGGGTTGTCATACTGACATCCACTTCATGCTTTTCAGTATCATAAAGGTTGGTTTCTTTTTTTTATGAGGTCATGGAAACCCAACAGCATTAGCTTCTAAAATATTAACTCTACTGGGGTAAAAATGCTTTTATCAGATTATAATAATTGAAGGGTCTTTAGTACATAAAATGTCAGCGAATGCTTTTCCGATTAGAATTATCGTCATGAGAAGGGAATGCCTGTGTTGTCCAAAGCAGAAACTGATTATGCTGACTCCTGCTGGCTTTTTCATATTTGGAGCCTACATATTTTTTTTAAATTTATTATCGAACTATAAAATTTCCCACCTTTTCGTGCAGCTTGTGTGCGTGAGTATTTAACTGCGTTAAACGAAGTCCATTTGTTCTTGTTCACATCTGTATATAAAGTCTCTTTTATAGCAGAGTAAAAATACCACACGTCTAAAAGTTGGTTTTCTATTTTAAAAGCCTGGATGGCTGATAAGCCCTCTTTAATGTTTTTTCTTTGTGTGAGCCTTTCTCACATATCCAAAGAATACACAAGGAACACTGTAAATGTTTAGATGTACTTCTGCTTCAACAATGATCTCAATGAGCTAAATTATTTAAATTTTTAGCATGCGTCTGTCTATTTCTGCCCTGCAAGTATTATACAGTTGTGATTGGTAATCTGATGCCAGCAGCACTTTTTCATGGTGAATGTGTACCATTACTGTGCTGGAAAAGCCAATTAACCTAAATATGCCCTGAAAATGTTGTACCAGTTTTGTGGAAGAGACCCTTGTTAAAATATATAAGATTCACCTAATCCTTTGGGATATGGGCGTGTTGTTGGCGTGGCATTAAAGCAACTGCAATGTATTTCACAGATCGAGCAAAGGGTGCTGGCGGGAACAACATGAGGGATCGAGCCACCATCAAGCGTCTGAACATGTACAGACAAAAGCAGAGATGGTAAGTGACCATAAAAATGATCTCTTTTTGGTATCGTGACCTTCCTGATAAATTGTTTCTTTCCTCCAATGTGGAATTGGTCAGTTCTATGGTACCATTGATTCTGTGCTTCTGTCCTTAGTAATAATCGTGGGAAAGTGGTGAAACCTTTACAGTACCAGTCGACAGTAGCTCCAGGGACTGTGGCCAGAGTAGAACCCAACATCAAATGGTTTGGTGAGCGTTTTTTCTTTTCGTTGTATGTAACTTCGTCATCGCTTTCAGGTGACACTCGGCGTGTCTCCCATTGGTGACAGCGGGTCAAAGGGAGTCGTCTCTTGTAAACCTTTGAAAGGAGCAGTACCAACTGATTGTGTCATACATCGACATTTTCCCTGGTATGGACTCCATTTACAGTAGGACAAGTTATGACCACCTATTGCCCACCGCACACTTCCATGTCCCACCGGCTGTCATTCATTTTAGCCTGCTACGTCTTTTTATCATCATTTCAAGTGCCAGCTTGGCCAAACTCAGACAAAAACATATCCTTCATCAACAATCCTAGAATACCTGAGCAAACCATTAAAAAGTGACCTCCATTTGGTTCTCATGGTAGAAAAAGTGTGTAAAAGAAATGATTGCCTGACAAATGAATCATGCAAAGCAAAGGGTTAAAGGTGGTCTCTCATAAAGAGCTATTAAAGTGGAATAGAGCCTAGCTACTGTCTAGATAATGTTGTTTTTGTTGTGAAATGCTGGCAGGCAGTTATTTAACGTGTACTGCCAGAGTCTTTCTTTTTTGGGGGGGGGTTTTAGTTTTTTTGCCAAAGGGAAGGGCTGTCTGGCATTTAAGCCATCAATTCTTTTTTTATATTGATTCATATTTCTGCTTTCTTCAGAAGCTAAGAAACAAACGGTTTTAGTGCACACATAAGTGTTCCAGAAGGTCTTTAGACATCCAGAAGGCAGTTTTTTATGAATTGCCAATGCGTGTGCTTCTTTCTGATATGTTTAAATGTTTTTCTTTGATGGTGGATTCAAAAATGTGTTTCATTTTCCTGTTGCCTCTAGCAAACACCAAACAGTTTGAGAGTATTTGAATTAATTGGAAATGTTCATCACTTGTCAAAAATGTTAAACAGCGCACTACAAATTTTAACAATAGTGACTGTAGAGCAGCAGGAGGTTTGTGTGTTTGACTAATTAATTGGCTTGTTTTGATTTGGCCTCTTATGATTGGAGCTGAGCTCAAGGACTCACCAGCCCTTTCCACATAGTGTCAGAATCAGAAGAGGCATCTCAGGGGACAACACTGGAGTTGTTGTCACAGGCAGTATGACCTATAGCAACGCACCCTACCCATTATCTTTACGACAGAAACCTGCAGTTCTAATGGATGCTGAAGTGTGTGTAAAAAGTCAATTTTTTGTACTTGGAATAAGGAAGTCCTGATGACTATTATTTAAACATTTTAAAAATGGTTAACTGGGGGAATAGGGGTGGTGCATGGTCATATGTTTATTGTCATCTGAACTGAGCCAGTCCCCTATATTTATTTTACTTTTTTTAATGTATTTCAGCAAATACTCGTGTTATCAAGCAGTCGTCCCTCCAGAAGTTCCAGGAGGAAATGGGAGCAGTACAAAAGGACCCATATCGGGTGGTGATGAGACAAAGCAAACTGCCCATGTCCCTCCTGCATGACAGAGTCAAAGCCCACGTGAGTTTAAAAGCTTAAGCCTCCTGGGCTATTTATTAGTTTATTACAAACTTTGGAAAACCACCAGCACATTAAGCTTTTCCACCTGGCTCCAAAGCGCCATCGGAGCTCTGCTCCCTTTCATCGGTGCCCTGCTCTATCATTTCGTGGAATCTTTATGAGGTGAGGCTAACAACAGTGCTCACTGTAGTGCTGGTTCAGTGCTGGCACGACGTGTGAGACTGTTTTCCTCCGCTAGCCTCTCGCTCCTTCAATTCACAACCAACACCGCTCCAAAACAACGTCAAGAACTTGTTCTGGTGCCACGCAATCACAAATCCTCACGAAAATGCTCAGAAGACGCAGGCGTGTAACCCAATCACCCCGACGTTTCTCATCAGCCATTTTTTTCCTTGATTGACCAACGGAATTCCCTCGTTTACTTATGACAGATTGATTCGATGAGGTCAGGATTTTATGAGGTGAAATGCATTTTGTAAGCATGAGGGAGTTTTGTAGAAGATCTTGGCCGGGAGTGTGGTTATTTTAGCCAACCCTGAAACCTGCCCCCCAAACACAATGCAAACGGCAGTGTTGCAATAGAGGTGTACTTATTTATTTATTTATTTTCTTTCCTGTTTCTTTTTTTTTTTTTTTTGGTTTCTTTAAGATCACTGGAAAACATAATTATCTCTGGCAGAGTCTTTGCTCTTTAGCTGGCTTTGTCATCGCATATTTGGGTGCTCTGTTTACTGTACGCGCTTGTTCTGCGTTCCTGTCTTAAACCCACGCTGGGAAAGTGTCTGAAATTGGTTTTAATTCCAGAAAAACATTTTCTTCAGGTTGTCTGTCTTTTAAATGAAAGCATCACTGGCGGTCTGCATGAAACGCTGCTTTCCCAGTGGAACCCTGACCGTCTCATAGATAAACCACACATGCCACGTGAAGCTCTGCGCTGTAGAGAATCATTTAAAGACAAACAGGAAGCTTGTAAAAATGTAGATAATCTGCACATTGTTGACCTCAGGTGGGTTGCCGTCGAAAAAATCCTCACTCTGACAGTTTGTTTCTTTTCTGCTACAGAATTCAAAGGTGCACATTTTAGACACCGAAGGTTTTGAGACCACATTTGGCCCCAAGGCTCAAAGGAAGCGGCCGAGTCTCATGGTCGGGGATGTGAAGGACCTGTTGGAGCAGGCGGAGGCTTCAGCGCTGAAATACGACGCAGACAAAGACAAGAACCTCGTCACGGAGGACACAGGGGTCCGGTACGACAATCACCCAACACTTACCTTTCTGCTTTTGCTTTTCCGTTTCTCAAAAGGGTTTTGATTTTCCTCTTGTTTCTGGAACAGGGAGGAAGCCCGCGAGGAGATTTTCAAGAAAGGCCAGTCCAAAAGGATCTGGGGAGAGCTTTACAAGGTAACACTCAACCGGTTTCTTCATTAGAGGGAAAGTTTTAGCATTTTGAATCCGCGGACCTGCTTTTTCATTACCGTGGTAGTAATCGCATTTGCTGCCTGTATGGCATCAGACACAGTCAGAAGCATCAGCGTTTGGACTTTTCAGTTCGAAATTTCATTCAGAATTTGTGCCGACTCCACATCCCTTTTCGATTGGAACAGGTGATCGACTCGTCTGATGTAATCATTCAAGTGCTGGATGCCCGCGACCCCATGGGCACGCGCTCTAAGAACATAGAGACGTACCTGAAGAAAGAGAAGGCCTGGAAACACCTGATCTTTGTGCTGAACAAGTGTGACCTCATCCCCACCTGGGTCACGGTGAGCTTTCATATCCATCTGCACCTTGTTGACTGTCCCCAAACCAAAAAGGAAGGAAAAACATCTTTCTCTTTGGCATGAAGTTGTGTGACCTTCATTCCTGCTTCTGTTTGACTTTCAACCAGAAACGGTGGGTAGCTCTTTTGTCCCAGGAGTACCCGACTCTGGCTTTCCATGCTAGCCTCACCAACTCCTTTGGCAAGGGCTCCCTCATCCAGCTCCTTAGGCAGTTTGGTAAGGTAAGCAAATGTTTGTTTTTCCCCCTAACAATTCATAACTGGCTGCCAGTGGCTTTGTCAACCAGCAGAAGTGGGGATTCAACTCTGCCTGATGGTATTTTGAACTTTAGAATGATAATATTGGCTGTACGCTGTCAGAACAAATTGAAATGCGGTCGCTTGACTGGAGCACTGCGGTCAAAATGAACACAACCATATGGCTGTTAACATGCGAGGAATGAGGGCTCTCGTTGCCTGCCATGCTAATCTTAGCCACACTCCACAAACTAACAGGCCTTTTTTTTTGTTGTAAGCTCGCGCTGCAATCACTGGGCTTTATCTGTCCAATCTTGCTCAGTGGTGACACCATGTGTTTAGGGTTTCTGAGCCCTGTTAGCTGCACGGACAGGTTTTCACTGCCCGTTCTCAGCTGCTCTCTGCTTATATGCGTGTCTCGGCTTTTGATGTTTTGAATGTTGAAAATGGCTCTTAGTTGGGTTTGGGCCAGAGACCGATTTGCCCTCACAAGTTCCCGGGTTGCTGTTCTCTGCATTTTTGTTAGATCGTTATCAATCTGTGAACAAAGAAGCATCTTCTGTCCTTTTTAGGTATTTGGCTGGATCTGTACAGAAATGATTTCTTATTAGACTTAAGATTTGAAACTGCTGCTTTTGTCAGCATTCACATAATGCAGCACAGATATCCCGTCTCAGAAAAATAATTCTCTTTTTAGCCGTTACTGTTTTGAAGGAGCTATCTAAACTTACAAAAATCGAAGGCAAATTGTGTCCGCTTATTTATGGAACCGACTGTGTTTGACTCAGCATTTTTTTCTTTTACAAACAGCTGTTCTTTTGTTATTTTTGTTTTATTTTATAAAACCTAACATTTCATTAAAACACAATGACTCATGTATGCAGAAGCCCTGCTGCATCGTCTCTCAGCCCGCTTTGATTTGCTCTCGATTCCTTTTGATTTCGGTGCTTTTTGAAATGACAACGCTCATGACTTTGTTTTCCTCCCACAGCTCCACACAGACAAGAAACAGATAAGTGTGGGTTTCATAGGCTACCCAAACGTAGGAAAGAGCTCGGTCATCAACACTCTGAGATCCAAGAAGGTCTGCAACGTAGCGCCCTTAGCCGGAGAAACCAAGGTAATGTCCTCTGTGCAGCATGAAGCAGTCCGACAAACAGCCGCTGCAGTAATGCTCCAGAAACTACAGCTTCAGCCATTCTGTATATTGTTAAGATTACCTCTGAAGCCCTTTCTACACTTTTCCATTCCATACTGATGTGTAGTAACATTTTTTTTTTTATGGGGCCAAGACAAGGAACAAAAACTCCTTTTATCCTTCATTTCCTGTCTTCTCCTGTTTAAAATTGAGCGGAGGTATAAAATCCGTTATAACAGGACAGAAAAAGCGGGGTTGTTGGACCACAGAGGCAGGGGGAATTTTTTTCCCCCTCATTCCACTTCTTACATCTGAGCCTCTCACAGAATAGCTGACCCTGGTGAGAGGAGACGTTTTGATCTCTTAAATCAAAGCTCACGGTTCACGTTTGGACAGATCAACTTCAGGCTATTCGAAATATTTATTTTTCTTCAATATCTCCAGTGAACGGGTTAGAGCTGAGAGCGCTGTTCCCCTGACTCCTCTAGGTGTGGCAGTACATCACCTTGATGAGGCGCATCTTCCTCATCGACTGCCCCGGTGTCGTGTACCCCTCAGAGGACAGTGAATCGGACATTGTTCTGAAAGGAGTGGTGAGTATGGATTCCTGTACGAGTCTGCAACAGCTTCCACAGTTTTGCTAAACCCCAAATTCAATAAGGAGGACAAGAATTCTTTTTGTTCCTCGTAACACAGATAAAAGCAGCAGATTATGAGCCCCACAGGCTCATGTCTCTGTGATTCCAGACAGTCTTTCCAAGTGTACACAAGGCATGGGTCGTATCAAATTACAGTGGGAGCAGATTTAAAGGTGGACGCGCTTCATAATCCTAATGCCTGAAGGTTTGAAAAATGTCTTAATCAGCTTGGATTCTGATCCTCCGAGTTCCTTTTGTGGGATTGAAGGGTTAGCGTGCAGGTCATGCAGGCACCGTAACTAAAGGGTTGCAGGTTCTGTTCTGAAACGGCTTTTTGTTCCCCTGCCAAGGTTCAAGTGGAGAAGATCAGGAACCCAGAGGAGCACATCGGGGCCGTACTGGAGCGAGCCAAGCCGGAGTACATTCAGAAGACCTACCGTATCCCCTCGTGGCAATCTGCTGAAGACTTTCTGGAGAAGCTGGCACTTCGCACTGGAAAACTTCTGAAGGTCCCCGTTTCTCTACCTACACAACAGACCACGCCCATGAGGCTTTTGTGCTTTTATATGTTGTTTTTATCGAACGTTACAGTGTAAAAAAGAGCATTGCATTTAAAGCTTATCACCAGAATGTGTCATTCTTAACAAGCTTTCCTTGAATATTTCCCTTGGTATTTAATAACATTGTGTAAGTAAAGGATCTGCTCTCATTTCTGCCTGTGACTGAAGTGTGACTGAACAATATTTTTTTTATGTTGTTCAGGGGGGAGAACCAGATCTTTCCACAGTCTCCAAAATGGTGCTGAATGACTGGCAGAGGGGGCGTATCCCTTTCTTTGTGAAACCACCAGGGCCTGAGGGAGACCAGGAGGTACGAGTCTAAAGAATATTTAAAAATCTTTTTAAGTGAATTTATTCATTTACATATTTATTAACTACCCATTCTTAGTGTATCAGCCTCTGCCCTTTGAGTTGCACTGCATTGTTTTTTTTGTGTCTCCTCTAGGACCAGAAGCCGCTGCCAATCGAAGCGCCGCCAGAAGGGGAGAACGTGATGGAGGAGCAGCCAGAAAAGCAGGACTCCATCCCGGAGGAAGAGGAGCAACAGCAGCAGAGGAAGAAGGAGCAGGTCCAGAAGATTCTTGCTAACGTGCGACAGAATTTTGGAAAGATCAGCGTGGCGCCGGAGTTCTGCGAAGAGGACCTGGTTCCAGTGGAGATGCCTGAGCTGGACATGAGTGACTACTCTGGCTCTGAGGCCGAGGACGAGGGCGAGGAAGATGCGCCGGCAGAGGAAGATGAGACCAGCGCCGAAGCAGCCGCCGGAGAGGCCGCGCCGTCCGAGGCCACGACCTCTCAGACCGACAGAGCCAGCAGCGGCAAGAGTTCCCGCGCGGTCATACGCGAGCTGGATGAGAAAATCACAAAGTACAAGCAGTTCCTGGACCGAGCCAAGTCCAAGCGCTTCTCTACGATCCGGTCAGAATGCTTTAGTTCAAACCTCACTCGACATATTTTCCGCCTCCCATTTTAGGCTAATCTTATTTAATTCCATCCCATGAAAAGATGTTGTCAAGCAGAGAGATGCCGCGCATAGCATGCGGTCCATCCCGACCAGTAAACGGTCACCATGTTAACCCTAATCAGAGGCCTATTTTCTGTAATGCGTGTAAATGTGTTCTTTAATCTGCATCTCCTGCTTTTGAATCTCAGCCCACACAGTCCACAACTAATTCAAATAACCAATGTTAAGTTACTCTGTCTGATTCGATAAGTGCTGGTTGCAGCAGATCCCAAACTGCCGTCTAACAGTTTGCTCTCTCTCTCTCGTCCCTTTGGACAGGATACCAAAGGCGCTCTCTGAGAAAGTGTTCACAGACATCAAAGCTAAACAAGCAGCAGCCACTCAAGCTCAGCGGAAAGGCAGACAGTCTGACGGTATGTCTTTAATTGATCTGAGACCATCTTCTGTCCATCTTCTCTGAAGTTATTTTGAGCCAAAGGAAGAAAAAAAAAATACTTTCACAATGCTTAACCATGACCCCTCATTTCATCTTTTGTTTTGCTTTTGGTGCTGTACTCATTTATTTGTCTTATTTGTCTCAGCTGCAAGCAGGAAGAGGAAGGCTGAGGAGGAGGATGAGTTGACACAGTCCCCAAAGCTGACGTCAAAGCAGGTACTCAGCATCTATTGCTGCCATCGTCAGCCGGGTGGATTTCCCCTCAGGGGGACGTGGTCTTTTTCTAATGGCTCCCTTTGTCTGCTTTTGATCCACAGAGAAGAGCGATTGAACGTGCGCAGAGGGCGAAAAAGGTCGGCGTGCGCTATTACGAAACGCACAACGTCAAAAACAAGAACAAGAACCGAAAAGCCCCGGCACCGAGCACAGAGGGTCAGCGGGCCAAGCGGTCAAAGCAGTAGACTGATATTTTAAAAACAACAGACACACATCAATGTAACAAATCTGTATTTAATCTTGCCTAAAAAGACAACTAAATGGAGCGGCCACTCAACGCCTTATCTGGACTACAAGGAAGTACATTTTTGCATCTCACTCTGGTTTTGCCTTCAGCGCTGACCTGTTTTTGAATAAAGTTTCATGGATCATTCTTAAAGTGCACTGCCTTCTTGATGTTCAAGAGAAATGAGCAGTTTGGTTGTTACGATTTGTATCGTCATGCTCTTCAGAAGAATAAAACATGTACTTCAGTGTTTATTCATTCTGTGTATTTTTGTCAAGAGGAAAATTTGGACAAATTACAAATTGAAATGACATGAAAAGTGTATCCTTTTTCACTTCTTTGGTGTAATGATCCCTTCGAGTTGTGTCTGAAAAGAAAGACAAACTGGTGATTAAACGTCTGTTTATAGCTAGCGTAGCTGTTGTCGGTCCTGAATCAAAAATGGAAAATGTTACCTTGAGCTGTTGGTTGGTTCTCTTCAGGAACTGAATCTCCTCTGTGTACTTCTTTTCCTCCATTTGTCTTTTCTCTGCCTCTCTCTTTTCAATAGCGTCGCATTTTGCTTTCTGTTCGTTCAGTTGCTTTAGCAGATCCTGTTTCTCATTCTCCAGATCAGAAATCTACAAATGGGGTAAAAAAAACAAAATGCATACATTTTTCTTTTAAACAAACAGTAGGTGAAGAAATGGTGCTCTCTGCTGGACATGTAAGTGAAGCACAGCAACAAGAAATACAATATAATCAACATGTTTCTGTCAAAGAAGTCATAAAAAATAGCATGAATTGCTCAATGCCCTTACTTTTTGTTCCATGTCAGCCTTTCCCTGCTCAGCCTGAAGTGCTTTCCTCATGCCAAATGCTATGCTGCTTTCATACAGCGTCTGGTAGGCGGCAATGGTCATTTGAATCTCATCTCTGACCCGTAACAGAAGCAGGCCCCTTTCAGCACAGTTGATGGTTACTTGTCTGATTAACTCATCTTAAAGAAATGGACATTAGATCAGAAGCCATGCAGTTTTTTTTTTAATTCACTCCTGTCCTGTGCTCATTTGATGTCTTTGTAACAACTGAGATCTCTCCAATTGCCATCGTCTCAGCTGTGTCCTTACCAAAGCATTGGGAATATAGCTCCCTGCGGACAGGACAGATGCCTGCCTCTCGGGCCTCCCTTTGCAACAGCTTTGTGTCCAAGAGTTCCTCCAAACAAATGACATCTGCTCTGGTGCATGGAGCACTAGAAACCTGCTGAACCCATAGCTGGTTTCCCTCTGTCCATTCCCTGCAATAGCACCGATTGAAAACTGAACTCGCAGAACAATAGACAATAGACATACATTTTTATACCTGGGTGGAAGAATGGAATTCAGGATATCCTCATTTTCCTGCTTGGTGACTTCAGAGGATGCTGATTTTTGTTTAGGAGGAGGTGGAACTGGACCAGAATCAGCAGGCTGCTGAGCGCTCACTTTTAAAGGACGCCCCTGTAATAAAACCAATATACATGATAAAGCTTACTCACACGCAACTTTTAATTCAGATTGTTGTAATGAATTTATACATTTAAAAAACAAACTATACATACAACATACAAAAACGATAAGGGCAGGCTTGGGGGCATAGCTCTGGGACAGTCTCACCACACCAAAACACTAAATTCCACATTTACATAAAACCTAATGTCCAGCTTTGTATAGGTCAGATCTTTAATCAGTTGTCACCAAATTGCTGTAATTTTGTTTCTTTTGCCACTTTATGGTAGTTTAGATCTATATATGTTTGTTTGTGTCACACATTACCCATTATTGTAAGCTCACGTACTAAACTCACCTTTGGGGATTTTCTTTCCGTGCATGACCGGATCAGAACTGGGTTGTCGTATTTCAGAAGAGAATCAGCTGGAGGAATCATGGTTTTGTGCTATTAGAGCACAAAGTTTACACTTGGTCAGCCTGAAGTGGGAGAAAAAATAAATGGTGGTTAAAAGTTCGCATCCACTTTTTTCGTAGCCATGGTTACAACAACAATAAGTTCTTTTTGTCGTGTTGCATAATACGTGTTCAGGCACGCAGTAGTAAAAGAAAGCCAGCCACAAAACTTGTCAATTAAAAAAATTTCTGCCGCTTTTTAATATGTAAAATTTGAGTGTTTTGCAAGTTTGACAAGAGAACGTTAATAAGAATACCGGAACTGCTATTACCAGAAGTTCGTTTTCATCTCGAGATAAATTATTGGCGAACCACAGGAAACGGAAAAACGTCACTTAGTGTAACACCAGAAGTTTAGTTTCGCACTGACGCTATTGTTTTATTTCCGAACGTCTGTTGTGATTATGCATTTCTAATTGTGTCCTGGTCGGATTATCATTGTCATTTGGCCATGGCTAAAGAGAAGCGACACAAGAGAAGGGAATCTCCCGGACGGGAGCCCGAGGTAAAGATAAAGCAGGAGAAACTGAGCCCCAGTAGGCCACAGAGATCACGCCGCTCGAGGTCGAGATCCAACGGCAATTCCAGTCCACAGAGGAGAAGACTGAGCAGGTATGTGCTGAAATATGAAAATTGTCGCTGCTGCCTTCTGTTTTGTATCATTAATCTCGATTACAAGAAGTATGATTTGTTCTGAAAGGTTATAGTAGCTTAGTTCGTTCGTTAGCTGTTGAATGTAGCTTTATATGCACCGTGACATAATAGTTTTTGTTTTTTCTTAAAAAATACAAAATAATATATTAAGAGCTTATTTGAATGCGTTACAATGCCGGGTAACAAACATGGAGGTTACAAGAGAATAAATGCAGGTGAGAAGTTTTAAAACAGAAAGTTAATAACATAATACTCAATACTTATAGCTGGCATGTCTGTTATTTTTCTAATAACAACAGACAAATTCTGTGAATTCAAAATACGAAAAAGTTTAATGTCTCGCAATTTTCTCAACTGCCGACAACCTGTTGCTCTATTTTGTTTGGACTTTAAGAAAAGAACATGCTATGTGAAATAAAAAAAATCTATGTTAAATGATCATTTTGAGATGAAGCATTTTTATTTGTGACTAGAAACTAAATACATTTAGGCAATTCTCATAGCTGTTTTTTCATTCCTGATAGGTATTTTTCTGTCCTCAGCAATTAACCGCACAACTCAGACTAATTGTATCTCAACATGCATTTTTTTGTGCAGATCACCAGCAAGGACAAGAGACCGCTCGCCAGGCAGAAGGGACACATCTCCAGCAAGACGAAGCAGCAGATCTCCCAGAAACAGGAGAAGTCGCAGTCCTCATCGTGGCGGTGATGTCAAAATAAAGCGGGTGATTGTCATCATCATTAAAGCAGAACCTTCAGAGCTGACAGAATATAATACACTATTGAATTATGCGGCATAAAACTGTCTCCTTTGCCATCAACTGCTACTAAAAACATACAATCTTAACATGCACAAAATAATGTTTCGGTTACACATTATACATGCTCTGAATGCATTTGAGCTTGATAGTCTGCACATGTGAATGCACATGAGTGAATATTTTGACTATTTTATCCAAGATGGCAATTCTAGATAAATATGAGAGGATTTTGATCACCAGAATTGAACTTTATATTTCCACAATATTTTCGAGCTGTCAATTATAGCAACAGTAAGTTTCTGTTGGGCTCTTTTCAAGGCCCATAGAACAAAAGGATAATAAGCTGCCATATGTCTAAGATAACAATCACTATGTTCTGTCAGGCTGCATTTAATTTGAGTTAAGTTTCTATCTAACCTTTATTGGGGAAAAACACTGTAACGAGTACTCATAATCTCTTCCTTTTACTCCAAACTTATTTTCAAATGCCACAGGAACGCGATGAGCCCAGGACGAGTGGTGACGAACGGAGGAGGAGGAACGATCAACCGGAGGAGAGGCGGAGCAGATGGGAATCGGACAGGCCTCGGGATAGAGACCGCGGCGGGGACAGGCATCGTGACCGAAACGAGGTCGCGTCCCAGCAAGCCGAGCGACGGCAGCATGATGAGCGGCGCAGGGAAAACCGTCAGCGGCGGGAGGAAAATCACGAGGACAACTTTGGGCAGCCTGAAGGCGAGAGCAGTGAATCCAGCGCTCCTCCTGCTGACAAAGAGAAGCCCAACTTTGAACTGTCTGGGGCACTCACAGAAGACACCAATACCTTCAGAGGAGTGGTGATCAAGTACAACGAGCCACCCGAAGCTCGGATTCCGAAGCGCAGGTGGCGATTGTACCCTTTTAAGAATGACGAACCCCTTCCCGTCATGTACATCCACAGACAGAGTGCCTATCTGCTGGGGCGGCAGAGGAAGATCGCCGACATCCCCATCGACCATCCATCCTGCTCCAAGCAACACGCAGTGTTCCAGTATAGGTAATGCAAGCTTCTGTTAACATGTCTACGCTCTGCTGCTTGACAAGTATTGACAACTTTACGCAGCATTATTTAACTAAATGCTAATAAACCTGCAGTTTTGCAACTAGCCGATTCTACCGCCGCAGACATCGTTTTGCATTTGTATTTTTCGTAGACTGGTGGAGTTCACGAGGGCAGATGGCACCACCGGCCGCAGGGTGCGCCCTTACATTATCGACCTTGGTTCTGGCAACGGCACCTACCTGAACAACCAGAGGATCGAGTCCCAGCGCTACCACGAGCTGAGGGAGAAAGACGTCCTCAAGTTTGGCTTCAGCAGCCGCGAGTACGTCCTGCTGCATGAGTTCTCAGACACGAGCGAGGTGGACGCCAAGCAGGAAGAGGAAGAAGACGACGAGGGTCTTGACGAATAACCATTCCCACATGTTCTATTGCCTCAATTATTTCAGGTTGTTAGAAGCCTCACGAATGTTATACAAAAGGGTTATTTTTGTAGGGAGCAGAGCAATAATCGGAACAGCTGAACGTGGGATTTATGATAAACAGAAGAGGGTTGGTCTTTTGTGTACATTGTGTAATTATCAATCTTTAGCTTATACCTGCCACAGCTGTCTCTAAGAAGATTTCCCAATCTCAGGTTTGTGTGAGGCATGATTGATCCTACACCTGACAGGGCTGACTTTCCCAAAGTGGACAGTGTTGGATGAAGAGAGCTTACTCATTAAAACACAGTCTACATATTCTTTTGGCCAAAAATCACACGCAAAATTTAGCTCGCCTTTGTCAACGTGATCTATGTCGGCACATTACCTCGATGTGAATTCTGGATTTTTTTTTTCATTAAAAGTTTATTGCCACAGCACAATGTTACAAATTATGCAGATTGTGTTATTGAGTCTTTTTTCTGCTTTGTAGGTAGAAGAGCTGACGCTGTTGTGTTTGTATTTGTACCAGCAGCGTGCATTCAAAGTCGTGCCCATGTGCTTTAATCAGTTACCATGTATTCATGGAAAGTTTTCATTTTTGTACTGTAAATAAATACTGAAAGTTTAGACTGAAGTGTTGTGCTATTTCCTGCTGGTGTGTGTTTTATCTTTTACATTTTTTCAGTGCACAGTAAGTCTTTTAGTATTATTTTATACTTTTAAACTGTGATGTGTTTGTGTATTCTACAGGTTTCCTAAAGTAAAGGGAGGAAATAATTTGGATGGCTCACACAAGCGCCTGGAAGTTTAGCTCAGACTTTTGTGTGGGTCAATATTTATGATCCAACAAAGTTTCAGGTCCAACATTTCAAACACAATTTAATTTAAACCTTAAGCAAACACGTCTGGTTCGATTCTTACCTGGTGCAATTTCCCTAGTTCTTTGGTAGTGTTGCGCAGAGTTGGTGACTGTCTGCCCTGCAAGCGTTTTTTTTATGCAATATTTGGCCGACAGCCAAGAAAAGCATACAGAGTAACTAGTGTAATGATGAGACCAAAACTCGCAGGAGTGTCTCTGGTTATGTGACTGGGTTTCGCGCATGCGTACTTGGAAAAACAAGTTGCCAAACATAAACTTGGTTGCAACTGTACAACTTTAATACATACACAGTTTTTAGTCTTCAGATGACTCAGATGTATGTTCAGTGACCAAAATCAAGAACAAATCCTTCAACTATATTATATGTGCCATGTAAACTGCCCAAACATGTACCCAAAATCCATTTAAACTCTTTTATTTTTTTAATTGTGAGATGTTGATTGAGTCAGAGGTCGACTATTGAATTGATCCATTCTCAAATATATGATGTCCATTTATTTATGTACAAAACAGGATGAACAGAGCAACTGTTTTAAATCTCGGAGAGAGCGAAAAGTCAGGAGACTGGGAGACACGGAGCCATTGCTTTGCGTCACCGGCGAACAAATCACCAGCAGCGTTTCACAGCAGATGTCAGACGAGAGTCGACCAAGTTTCGGTGACAGGGCTGGCGGGCGGAGCGGAACGGGGGAAAGGCTGGAGAGGAGGGCGGTCCGAACGGAGATGAGCGCAGGGAGTGTTTGTGGAAATGCGCAGGGAGTGGAAGCCGCTGCGCACCTGGGAATGTTCAGGAACACGCAACTGTGTGCTGTCACTTTTTTTTAAAACTCAGGAGATCCTAACGAGTAATATGCTCTGACTCTCGTATCGGACGGAATCGGACGGGAACATGTACACGACGGAGCGCAGGCGGATGAGCCTGCACGAACTCAAAAGGAGGGATCCAGTCTGGGTGTCCGCTGGAAGTTTGTGGCAGGACGCTCTGGCCCTAGAGCTGAGCACCGGGCCGGGGAAACCGGCCATATCGCCACGGAGCCGGACCAGGGCGGTGTCAGTGGCTTATTTTGTCAATGAGGACGCGTCAAAGGCTGAGGAGAACTTCTCTCTGAAATGTCTGAAAGAAGCCTGCGCGGACGCGCACGCCACTCTCAAAACCATTTCATTCGAGAGAGTGTCTCTGGGTGCCACTGATGTCCTGGATAGTTTCTACAATGCAGGCAAGTGCAGGCATGAGGGGGGAATCTGAGTGACACGGAGTTACCTCAACAGCGCAAACTCACACCCCCCTGTTACTTGTTCTCCCCCAGATGTGGCAGTGGTGGAAATGTGTGACACTTTCTGCCAGCATTCCATTTTCTACCACCTTGGAGTGAGAGAAAGCTTCAGTATGACAAATAACATCATTCTGTATTGTTACAAACAGAACAGCGATCTCCAGGCTCTCAAGGTAACTCTGGTTTGAAACTCAGAGGGAAAACAAAGATACAGTAGAGGAGCTCAGACCTTTAACCCCACGTTCCCAGGCAGTTTCTCATTTTTATAAAGTTGATATGTGTACCAACTTATAATTCATGTCAGCCTGTCGGATTTGAATTCCATGCAAACGACTTGATAACAGGACCATAAGTCTAAGGATGTCCTTCTTGTCATTGCAAGCCAATAACAAAGCTTCTCTTAGAGCATTTGTAAGCTGCTGGCTGTGTGTTTTATTGTGCAGATTACTTAACTGAAGGCAGAGAAAGTGAAGCAATAGACACACAACAGTCAGTGTGTAACTGCCAGCACCAGGCCACTTCAGCTCTTGTTGTTTTTCTGCCTTAATGTGTGCAACCAATGACGTGGGTCAAGATTGATTGATTCTTTTTGTTTTTGATAATAATGGACAAATGACAGTTTCAGAATCTAGCATAAATAAATTACAATTTTATATGTCCGAGATAAACTTGTGAAGCCTCGAAAGATCTTGTAATGTTGATCAATTCATGCTGCATCTTCCTCCAGGAGCAGTGTGGGAGTCACACCTTCCTCCCGTACGTGGTGTCACCGCAGGGCAAAGTGTTTGCCTGCGATGTCAAAACCATGACGTGTATCAAAGAGTTGATACAGCCCGGCTTCCAGCTTGAGGCTTTCCTCAACCCGCTGGTAGAGAGGCTCGTGCATCTGCTGAATAACGTGCACATCCAGTCCAGGTCAGTGGCGTGCCGCCGACTGTACATGCATGTGCTTGCCCTCATGATATTCGGCATAGCTTACCTGCAGCCTCATCTGGGGTTTTTTTTCATATTGTGAAATTGTGGAAATGTAAGGCCCTCTTTCTCACCCTTTACTGACAGTGAGTACTTCCGGGAGTCGGTCAGGCATGAGATCCGCATGGCACGGGAGAGGTTCAGTGGCCAAGCCCTGAGTCAGGAGTTGAGCCGCATCCAGAAACGCTTGGATAGCGTCGACATGCTCTCTCCTGATATAGTCGTGGGCCTGTTGTTATCCTACAGAGATGTTCAGGTGTGTGTTCACGTGTCTGTGAGACACGTATATGAAGATGAGCTGGGGCCGTAATTGTTTTATTTCATTTTTTTTTTATATGAATATCAGTTTGTCCATAGGGTCTCTGTTTTGTAAAAAGCTCCTTGATGTAAATAAACTATCCACACCTTTATCTTAAAGCGTGAACGAGGTTGGTTTTAAAGGAACTGGAGATAGGAGAACTTCAAAGCCCTTCAGGGTCATAATGAATAATGGTGGGATTGATATGATCAAAAAGACTGCTAAGATAATTATGATTAGTTATGTTTATGTGATGATAATGTAATATATTGAATGTCGTCAGCTGTGAGCGACCATCAATGCATTATGATTCTTCCCCCTTCTCACAGGACTATGATGCCATGATACAACTGGTGGAGAATTTGAACAGCCTGCCAATGTGTATGGTAGCAAGGCATCAGAATATCAAGTTTCACTACATATTTGCTTTAAACAGGTACCCTCATGCACATAATCGAACAATTGATGCCGCCTGGTCTTTGGTTTCACTTGTTTGCGTCTGTCCCTTTCTCAGCTCATGGCTTTCATTGGCTCTGTATGTGCGCCTTTTTAAAGGGATGACATTTTCTCATGTTAGGAGAAATCGCCCTGGAGACCGCGCAAAGGCTTTGGAAACAATCTTGCCAATTGTGGAGTCTGGAGTGAAGGTGGCATCCGATGTGTTCTGCTTGTGTGGACGGATCTACAAAGACATGTTCATCAGCTCTGGGTTCACAGACATCCGCAGCAGAGACCAGGCCTGCTATTGGTACAACCAGTTCTCGTGTTTTTGTTTACGCGCTCACACGAACCTGTCCGCATCTGTAAAAGGAGGCTTTTTAAAAAAAATGTTGTCACTTTCCGATGAACGTGCCTCAATCCATTTGATTATCTGAATTCACTCTGATGTTATATTTCAGGTATGGAAAAGCGTTTGAGACGGAGCCATCTCTTCATTCGGGCATCAACTGTGTGGTCATCCTGATGGCAGCTGGACACGAATTTGAGACTTCTATTGAGTTGCGAAAAATAGGTACTTGAACACACCACTTCCATCTGCCATCACCAAAGTTATTGTACTGGAACTTATAAGGGTGTATGAGTGTGTCATTGTGCAGGTTTAAAAAAATGGTTGTATTTCCATTCATTCATATTTTAATGAAGTGTAAAAATAACAAAGGCGGACATTTGATAGATGGATGAATAATCAGCAAGGCCCCAAATGCTCAGAATCTTCTCTGCTATCTAATTTTGCAATGTCAAATCCAAAATCTTTTTCAGTTTTTGAATGTTGAAATCTATTTTCAATACAAATTAATATTGTGTCAAAATTTTTCAGCTTTTTTTAAACATGTTTTCAAATGTAAGCCTTGATTTGATTTGAATAATCTCTTACTTCTGAACAAGGCCATCGGGTGAGGGTTTGTGAACAGGCTGTTGTGTTCTGCTTTTGTGTAGGTGTGACCATAAGCTCACTGCTCGGTCGAAAAGGTAGTTTGGAGAAGATGAAGGACTACTGGGACGTAGGCTTCTATCTCGGAGCAAACATCCTCGCCGGAGAGCACAGGAAAGTCATCGAGGCCTCAGAGAAGCTCTACAGACTGAAGGCCCCCATTTGGTGAGACTGACAATCCACTAGCTGCGTTTTAATGACAACCATCCAGAATTTAAGTAGCAGAGGGCTGTTTCTTTTTTCCATGAGCTAAACAATTATTTCGGCCCTGTTGCATTTCATGTGAGGTCCAAGGTTCAAGCTTGGTAAAGGAAGTACACTGACTTGAATGGCTCCACCCACCTGCCTATGCGGTGCCATATAAAGCTTAGATGGACAGTGATGCCCATGACAGCTGCATTAACTGTCCATCCTTCTGTGTGTTTGTGGTGGTAGGGGGGGCGGGGTCTTTATAACATATCAGCTGTGAGATTAATGTTTAGCTGCATGTTTCTCATAACGGCTTTTATCTCGGCCGTGTGCAGTAGAGACAGTGGTACCCCGCCGGGCCCCCGAATCGATTAGCGATGAGCATTTCATCGCTCTGAATCACAAGTTTATCCCAGCTCAGTGCACAGATGAAGCTGCACGGCGCTGCTACAAAACTATCCATGTTGTGCACCTCTGGGAGGATTTGGCTGTTTGGATTAGTTTCTTAGAAGTTCATATCAATAAAAAAAGTTTTACTTGATAACTTGATGATTTATTGTTGCGGTGTCAAGCTTTATGCAGTTACTTGTGTGTTTGAACAAATCAGAGTAGTGTTTTATCTCTCTCATTTCTCTACTCTCTGCTTCAGCACTCTAACTCTGTGTCTTCATTCATTCTGCAGCTGAAATGAAAATGGACTTATTATATATGATCTCCATGTGGGCGGTTCTTTCTGTGGCTCATTTCAGGTACATTGCATCAATTATGGAGACATATATCTTATACCGTCAGTTTGCCAAGTTTCCTGAAGTGAGATCTCCCAAACAAGATACAGTGGATTTCTGGATGGAGTTACTTTTGGAGACGTACAAACCCACCTTCTCAACAAACCGCTGCCCTGTAAGATAACCCTTTCAGTCCACTTTTATGTACCTAGGGTCAAATTAAAGCAAATGCCCTCCCTAGCTTTTTTTTCTTAACATTCTTTTTTTTCTTTGAGCCTTCTCCAGCACTAGGATCAGTTTTTTAAATTTTGCTTTCACTTTCATTTAATTTTTTTACTTTATACTTTCTTTCACACTGCATCTGCCTCATGTATCATATGGCTAGATTTTTTTTTCTTTTTCCCGCGTCTGACAATATTTGTAATGGCAACAAAGTTTTTTTTGTGTGAACAACAACCGCAGCATCTTAGACCCTATGTGCTCCAGGGCAGCCATAGGGCCGTGAATCGGCACAACAAAAAGTAGCTGCATTTCAAAATGAGTCTGAAGGTCATAGATTTTCACAATAGGGGCCATGCAGATATTTTGGAACAGCGCAAATATATTGGGTTTAGATTGTGGATTTCTGTTGTAGGTGCTCATTCTGGAGCCCAGTAAAGTCTTCCAGCCGGCTATTGTGAGTGTGAGTGAGGAGAATGAGAGCCGCACTGTTCAGCTCAGACATGTGACACATTTACAGGTATGTGCACCCACTGCAGGGGCCCCTCCCTTATTAGCGCAATATAACCTTTGTATACGTTCTTACTCATAGAATGTAGAATACAGTGTGTTGCATCATGGGGGGGAAAGAAAAGATAGTTTTGTCATGATGATTTTATTGGGCAGAAAATGTTTAAATGGAGCATTGTCAGGCACAGTACGTTTGATTTTCATTTCATATGTTCAGCACGCGCATGGAAATGAAATCTGTTGTGCCATTTGTCAATCGGGTATTTGCAGTCAAACTGGCTCATTTAATTTAATTTTGTCACTTAACATTGGCTTCTGCAGAAAGGCCTACACCAGTGGACTTTTCCAGCATCAGCAATCCGGGGAGTGAGGTAAAGAGGAGCAACAGCATGTGCAAACATCTCTCTGTTTTGGGTGTGATTGAGCCTACAGCAAAGCCAGAGGAAACAAAACACAAAGAACTGTCAGGGAAACATTGGCTTGTCAGGCTAGTTTTACTTTGTAGTTTACCCTCTTCTTGCTTGCCAGTTTGCCACTGTGGCCATTTACAGAAGAAAACAGCAGCTAGTTGCTGGTCTGCTTGAAAACATAAGCTATTTTATCAGCTTGCATGAGGAAATGGTGAGGAGCAGAATTTCCACTGAAGCAGACATTGTTTTCCATCTTACAAACAAACATTAGCTTTTGCTGGAAGGACTGCTATGACCTGTCAACTGTTATGACCTGTGCAAAAATATCATGTTCTACAGAACTCCATAAGCATGAAGCTGGTTAAAACAAAAAAGCTGTCAGTTTCATTTTGTTTTCCTCTTTTTACCCAAAGCGCATCAAAGATTGATGAGCGAAGCTGCTTCCTGTATGTCCACTACAACTCAGATGACTTCCAGCTCTGCTTCCCCTCTGAGATTCACTGTGAGAGGTGAGTGACCAGTGAACATGCACAGGAACGACAAGGCAGTGTGTGTTTGCGTGTGTGCCTATGTGGATGTTGCGAGGTTAATGACTTGCTTAGCGATCGACTGACTGGATAAACAGACTGTTGGCGAAGGGGCAGCTGTTTCAGGCTGACTGTAGTCAATGGCCTGAAGAAATGTGTGTGATGAAATAACTTTGCATTCGTCACACTTCCCGTTGTGCCCTCCACTTGAAGAAAAAAACCCCTTAGTGCAGATCTTTTTGTCTTTTGCTTCACATACAGAAGTTAAATGTAGCACCGGATTCAGTTTCGATATTAGAGCAATTTTCATAAGGTTTGTTAGTTGTACCCACAATGCATCACCTTTGCTATTTTGTAAGTATGAACTAACTGTCAAAATTAAACTACATATATGTGTATACATGCACAGACTTGTAGTGTTTCATCCTCTTTATATAGAATACTGCTGCCTTAACTGGAGAAGCAGGAAGATCAATCCCAGCAAGGATTTCCAAAGAAGAGGGGATATAAAATGCCTTTGCTGAGCTTTAAGTCTAACTTTAAATGTAGTCATCTCAGAATGAAAATGTTTCAGTAATTCTGTACCTGAACCTGCCAGAAACCACAAACTCATGAAAAATATGTCTGTAAAAGTAATTAAATATTTGGGAGGCAGTTTTTCTCTCTCTCTGGCGCAGTTTTTTTAAACGTGGCTCGCTTCAACAGTTTAATTTCTCAGACATGGTGCAGATTTCCTTTTTATTGACTATGGTCTATGACCTGAAATCGGCCATTCATTTACAGGCCTGTGAGTCTGTGTTGTTTTAGGAAAAATTCTCAATCACGTTATGATTGTCTCTCGATGTTTTTGCAAGATTCTGCGAGTTGGTCAACTCCCTGCTTCAGCAGGCTCAAGATTCTGCTCAGGACCCCGAACATCTGTCTGCAGGGATACTTGAGGTCAGTGAATTACTCATTCCACTGGCACAACTAGGTATTGACATTAGGTCTTTTATTGTTTGAAAAAATGTTTTAAAAAAACATCCTCAAGCCTTCAAGAACTCCTGTTATATTATTAGAAAGCCCCTTTTTAGTATACTTTGCTTGTGAAATATTCTCTATTTGCCATTTTACATCTCATCCTCAGTACATCTATGAGACCAATGAGAATGGCGACAAAGTGGTTCTTGGGAAAGGGACGTATGGCGTGGTGTACGCTGGAAGGGACGTGAGCAACCAAGTCCGCATTGCCATCAAGGAGATTCCTGAGAAGGACAGCACGTAGGGGAAACATTTTTGGCCATTACACAGTTCTGTGCCTCAGTGGTTCCCACATTAATCTTGTTCTTATGATTTCCTAAACGGGAAAAGATTTCAAAGGTCATATTTACCAGCACAGTCAGATTCCCAGTACTCCTTAGGAATCTTGAGGGGGCTGGACAACTTATTTTTGGATTCTTATTACAAAATCTGCTTTAATGTTGTCTAGGTTTTATATTGGAGACATACATAGTTTACTGAACTCGTATAACATGCGCATAAAAGTTCTCCACACAGACAAAATCTTTTTTTCATGTAATTTTTCCTTTTTCCAGACTTTTATTTATTTTTTGTGTGTAGATATTCATGCTAAGTACTAATTGAATTGAGAAGTAAATGATTTATTAGCACCTATCGCTCATATTGAGAAACAGTTCATTTGTAATTGAGTAATTGTAGTGGGAAGTAACAAAACTGAAAGTTAAAGTCTGATCAGTGTCTTATGCTGTTGGGGTTCCAACAGGGTTGTTGTACTTGCATTTCAGATATCAAACAGCATAAAACTTTGAAGTTGTCATGTCCGTTGAACTTTTGGAACACCAGGTTTTTGTTGTGTGTTTGCACATTTAGAAAAACCTACCATATCATATAACTGAATATGAATCAAGCCAATCTGACAGCAACATCTGCTTTTCTCAGATATTCCCAGCCCCTCCACGAGGAGATAGCTCTGCACAAGAGGCTCAAGCACAGGAATATTGTCCAGTACCTTGGCTCTGTCAGTCAGGATGGCTTCATCAAGATTTTTATGGAAGAAGTACCTGGAGGTATACATGCAACCACCTGAAAACACAATACTGACAGCTGGCGCTCACATCATGTCACATCAGGAAATGATGTTGCCAAAATAACCCAGCTTCCTTGGAAATCCCAGGACATAAGGGAGCCCTGTCTCTGCTTGAAAATTCTTATGTAACTGTTTGAAGTGCGTTTTTTTTTTTAAATTCCAATGAAGAGAGGCTATGGAGCCCCATTCCAGTACATAAGGTCCACAGCAACAAAGCTTATGCATTGCAGCAGCGACATGCACGGCAACGTCTGCCGCCCTATGTCATTGTGTGATTTGCACATAAAGCACTTGATATCTGGCTTAGGAAAAAGGCCGTGAGAACTCAGCGAAAACTCAGCGGGGAAGTAATTTTTTCAGAAGAGTAGTTACTCATAAAGATGATGTCACATGTACAGGAAAGCAGCATTGAAGCTGAGGGTGTTTCCTAAGACGTTGTGAGCAATAAGGAAAACATTTTTTTGCAATGATCTAAGTGCATGGGTGGAATTTAGAGCAATTCCATTTCGACTCTGTGATCATGTGAGAGCCAGCATTTATTCCACATAATTTTGTCAATGATAGACCAGCATGTGACTTCTTGTATTTGCGCTTATAGGGAGTTTGTCATCTCTTCTGCGCTCCAAATGGGGTCCTCTGAAAGACAACGAAGCCACCGTCATTTTCTACACCAAACAAATACTCGAAGGGCTGAAATACCTTCATGATAATCAGATAGTCCACAGAGACATAAAGGTGAGCAAACAACCCCCCACCTCTCTGATGCTGACATTCTCGAGTATTTATGCCAGTGGTGTTTGTTTTATCTCAACTTCAGGGTGACAATGTACTGATCAACACCTACAGTGGGGTTCTGAAAATTTCTGACTTTGGAACATCTAAACGCTTGGCAGGGATTAACCCATGCACCGAGACATTTACCGGTAGGAAGAGGCCAGTGTTGCCTTTTAAAATCAGTTTAGCTTTTGGCATTTCAATTGCTTACAGTAGTTGCATTTAGTGATGGATGTGGGGAATTCTTCTAAGGAACTCTCCAGTACATGGCCCCTGAGATAATAGACCAAGGACCTCGTGGCTATGGGAGGCCAGCAGATATCTGGTCTCTGGGATGCACCATCATAGAAATGGCAACAGGAAAAACACCATTCCATGAGTTGGGAAGTCCTCAGGCAGCAATGTTCAAGGTAAGCAAGGGAAACTTTAGTTTGCATGCATGTTTGAACAGTTTTTGTTCATATATGAGGAAAAATGGTAAGTAACTAACTTTTTTTCTTTCCAATCTGACCTATTTTATTTGAGAAAAATTCCCGTATTTTATCATCTGTGCCCTCATTAGCCTTGTTTTTAGGTTTTTAAAATGTTAGCATAAGACCCAAATTAGTGGGCATAAAATCAACTTTACCGAACCAGCTTTTCTTTGATTGTTCCCAGAATTTTACCACAGGTTAGTTGGAGTTTAGAGCTTTCATAATCATATAAACATTAACTCAGCCAAACCACAGCAGCTAAGAACCAGCTGCATCGATAGCTTGAATGACCAAAAATAATTTGAATAATTGATGGGTAATGGGTGTCCTAACTTTGCTTTCCAGGTGGGCATGTTTAAGATCCACCCCAAGGTTCCTGAGTGTATGTCCGATGAGGCCAAAGCCTTCATCATGAACTGTTTCGTGCCAAACCCGGACGAACGAGCTACAGCTGCTCAGCTGCTGAATGACGCTTTTCTCAAGTCGTCCCCGAGGAAAAAGGCCAGAGCTGCTCAGGACTCAGAACCCAATGAGTCAGTGTTTTCTGGTAAGACTTGATAATTTACATCAGATTTCTTTCTGGAAATCATTCCAAAAGTAATCTGCAGCTTAGTTGCCGCCCAACCTTTGCATTAATGCGACCCAATTTTGGCCAAAGCTCTTTTTGCCTCTCTCTTCTTCTCTGCTGTCACATTTACAGTAAACCTATCATGTTACTTGTGACAAACGTGTAGAGACGGGTGCCCTCAAAACTGGTAGATTTCTCTAAGCACAGTCTCTCTGGTTTTTGTAGCTGACTATCACCGCAGCCTTTCAGTGCCCATCTCCATCCTTGTGGAGGACACGGATTCATACTCGGACTCAGTTGACTTGTCTTATTCTCTTGACCTGAGAAGGTACCAACCCAACGAAGAGTTCTCAGAGAGCCCACCAACCACCAGCTCCCTTTCGTGAGTGAGATTATTGCTCAATAGAAAATCAAAACACCTTCTTTCTTGTTTTTATTTCTGCATAACATTGTTGTGTCATATATCTGTGTGAACCCACTATGAGAGCTCAGTAAGATTTTCAGGTGAAATGATGTCCTGTCTTGTTAAGAATTAGTGAATTCTTAACAAGATAAAACAAATCGTAATTTTTTTGTATTTTTTTTCTGTCCATTTATTACCACCTTGCCGTACAGAGTTCCAGATGAGTCTGTGTCAGACATGAGCAGTCCAGCCTCAACGGATGAGAATATCAGCCTATTTATGCTGCGAAAGGACAGTGAGAGGAGGGCGACTCTGCACAGAGTCCTCACCGACTACGTCAGTAACGTTGTCTCTAACATACAGCAGTCTGTGCCTCAGGTGGGTCAAAGCTAAGCAAAAACGTGACACACACATTCAGGATTTTCTTCTAAACTTTTAGGTGGATTACTTGTCAGCTTTGTGAAAGAGATGCTTTAAATGGAAAATTACATTAAACTTATCAACAGCCTGTCAATAAATTGTATCTAATGGTGTATGATGAGTAAAATAAAAAAATTGAACGCTTTCATAAGAGATTAAATCATTTTCTGAAGTACCTGAAGAACAAAGCAAATCCAGCATCCTCACATATCCCAGTATCTGTGCTTTTTCTTTTGAAAGTATGACGAAGGATCAACGCTTACAGCCGACCACATCACTGTGCTTATCACCTGCTTACGGGACAACATCCGCTCTCCAGACAGACAACAGCTAACCAGTGGCCTGCTAGAGCTTCGCTCTACTCTTCTAGCATGTGATGTTCCTCTGAAAGACCTGCAGGCGGTGCTCTTTAACTTCCAGGAAGCAGTAAGACACTTAAGAACTTGGGAGTTTTCCGGTGAACTGTGATGCGCGATTCTTTCTGTTTTCATAGATAGTGATGTTTTCTCTACGCAGGTGAATAAGGTTCTGAAGAGGCAACAGGTCAAACCTCACTGGATGTTTGCTTTGGACAACCTTCTCAGACAGGCGGTACAGGATGCCCTAACTGTCCTGCTGCCAGGTAGATCTGCCACTTTCACTGGCCACTTTATGCACATGCATTTAGGTGTTGTTATAGCCCAAATGACCAGCTAAAACGAATGATGATAATAATAGTGCAGCTATTTTTGGTTCAAATGTTACCAATTTGAGCGTCTTAAAAAAACACCTAATTGTTAAATGAAAAGCCCAAACGATGACAGGAAAGTTAAAAGAGATAACATAACTTATGTTGTCATTTCTGTAAAGAATTGTTTGAGTCAGCGTGCAGCTTTCAGTCTCCAGAATTTCATGTAAGCAACCTGACAGCGTGGTTCCAAAAATAATGAAAGGATTTGTTTAACTTATGTGCTAATACTTATTTAAGTGTTTTCTTATAGTTTTCCTATGACTCATTTACTTTTGCATGTCTCCAACCTGCCTTCTTCTCAGAACTGAAGCTCCAGCTGCAGTCCTCATTTGAGGTTGAGGAGAGCATTCCAGAGGAGCAGCCTTCTGACCCAGACACCCCTGTAGTTCCCGTCCCCGACCTGCTGATGGCGCCAACAGACTCAGACATGAATGATACTGAGTCTTCCTCGATACCCAGATTTCCTACTGACATCATACTCAACGACAACTTTCCCCAAAGCAAGAAGCTGAGAGATCTGCGAATTGAGACGAGGAGGTAGCCCTGAGCAGTTTTATATTTTTTAAATTATGCCTTTGGAAGGGTCAATATGACAGTTAGTTACTGTAGTTACCCACGAGAAGTATGCGCCGACAGCATTCGAATCTGACATTTTAGAATTGTATTTTTTTTTCTTATTCTTTTTGCTTTAACTCTGGCACTCCTTTTTGGCCGTCCACGAATGATGACAAAAACCGAGCCACCCGGATTTCTGCTGAGTGGTGATTTCTTTGTTTTGTTTCAGACTGCTGAGTCAGCTGAGTGACAAGGAGCAAGAGTACCAGGACCTACTGAGGAACTCTCTTCAGAGGAAACAGGAACAGATAGATGAACTGAGGAAAACAACTGTTATTCAAGGTAAAGTTGCTTCTACTGCTGCAGCCTTGACGGCCTCAGTGTTATTCAGCTAAACAAGAAGAAGAAGATTCTTCTTAATTTCTTTTCATTAAAGTTGTTGCTGCCTGTTATGAACTCGGGTGAAGTTCTAGTATTTGTTTTAGGAATATCAAACCCCCCATGAGAAGCCAGGTTTCATAGTCAGAACCTTTCTTCTTTAATTCTTGATCTATGTCTAAATGACTTAGAGCATTCCTGCTGAGATTTCACCATTTATGTCAACACAGCGAAGTGAAGACCTCAAATGTTTTCTCTTACTTCAGATATATGGCACAACAAACCCTGCATAATTTGATTAATTGCAGCATTTCATGGCTGAAGTCCATTTTTATTTCATAATAAGCCAAATTTATTAAAAACATGATTACATTTGTATTTACTTACAAAACCCAAAACCAATGGAATATTTTTAGATTTAAACATAAGATAAAACAATTTTTGGGTCAGTTGACAGTCTAATTATTCAATATCTAGTCAGTCTATTATTCTCCTCTTATTATTTCTTAGTTAATAGCTCCTTGAAGAGCATAGAAAAGGTCTGCTTGAAGAAACCAAGTATATGTGTGTATGAATTTAGAACCAATCTATTCGATGAGCTGGTAGGGGCCAAGTTTAAAGCCTGTCATCACCCTCACAAGCTGCAACATGAATATTATTGCATAATTAGATGAAGTGATTGTGATCACTGTTTCATCACCCTCGCAGCAGGTTTTCCCGTCCCGACCACACCTTCGTTTTAGGCTTGTTTCTGCTGGACTGACTTTTGTCTGAGGGCGTAGGCCACAGAATAAGCAGCCTCTGTGCTCAAACTTGCCCTGTCAGTTCGGGTAATGGTTATTCATTCTTGCTATAGAAATGAGGCAAATGCTTTCATTACGCGCAACATTAACATGCCTTAAATGTAATTTGTGTCATGGCCAGACAGAATCTAATGGTTGTCAAATTTATATATTGTAGGTGGTGAGCTGGCCTCACAAAAAAGATGTAATCCAGAGAACAGGGCTTTAGTTTGCTGGCTCAAGTCTGTTCCTGTGGATCAAGACACTATCGATAAGGTAAATTCAGCTGGAGTGTTAGCCTTGTATTACTTTCTATCCCCAAAGCAGGTTGTTGTTAATCTTGTGCTTACTGTTAACCCACATCTGTGTGCTCCTGTTGTGTAGCTGCTCGCTCATGAATTCACCTTGGACTGTCTCCTCTCCATGGCCTCCAGGGACGACTTGATGTACTGTAGATTAAGGTGAGCTGCCTCCACACATCAGTCTCATATGAACCATCCATGCCGAAAAAGATCATCTCTAATAACAGTGTAGTTACATCTTTCATAAGTCGTGAAACTGCTGTTTCAGAGGTGGCATGCTGTGTCGAATCTGGGCAGCCATCACCGCTCGCCGAAAGACCTCACTCAGCACACACAACGAAGAGTCTGAAGACACTCTTCTCTAATGGCTGACGGTGTTGTGCATTAGAGGGCGGGTTTATTGACAGGCTGGCTCTGTTTGATCCGGAGGAAAAGAGGCACAGACAAATCTGGAAGCTAATGTAAAGCAAGACATGTTTTTGGTATGTTGTTTAACTTTGAGTTTGTTTTATTATCTATTCTTCTAGAGGTCACAACTATAGAGTTTGCGTAATGCAAACGAGAGTTCATAATTCGTCACCTTTCATCGAGTTTCTCCAGTAACGTTTTTAATTATCTCAGGGCTTTGGCAAGTGGGACTGACTATTTCCACACATACATTTGTCTAGAGTATTGTTAATTAAATTAAATTGAATTTCTATGTCTGCAGGCGAGGTCTTTTTGTAATGTTTTTTACAGAAAGCTAAACAGGTTTTTAGTTAAGTTATTACAGATATTTTAATGGGAATGCCTCTGCATTCTGAGGGGAAAAAGGGTTATTTTTGTTTACTAGAAAATGCTGTTAAAATGTCTTAACATAATAATAAAGAAATAACATTTCACCTCAGACTGTCTTGTTATCTGTGTTTGTAACAAGTAGAGCTTATTTCTCAGGGAGGGACATTGACTGGAAGAAGTGACGAAGTGGCGGGCAATCTTTGAATTCCTCATGTGTTTCTTCATGTGTTTTCATAATGTTGACATCTCCTTAGAAACGGTGACAGTGCTTTGCTTGCTGGTGCATGTGTGTTTGAGCACAATGGGTCTACAGTCACTGTTGGGTAGTACAGGTGAGGAGTTTTTGATTGATAACCTTTAATAATCAGTTTTTCATAATTTGAGTAACCAAAGTGAAGCATAAAAATAAGGAGAAAAGGAGGAAAAGAATGGGATCAGAGCTATAAGTTTATATCTGACAAGATGTGGTAGTATGTTTTCAGTCTCGTTACAAGAAATGTGGTCTAAAAAGAAAGTGCATAAAAAATAAAAGATGTTCTCTGAGATCATAGGACGGCAAACTGTCAATTTTGGCATAAAATGAAAATCTGTGACTAGCTTTAAAAACACATTGCAGAAAAAATGGTCAAAGTTGTTAAATGCATTTGAATTAAACTAAAAGAAAGATGTAGGGAGAATTAATGTATTCTATATTTCTCAATGATTATAAAGTGATTAAAACCCCTGCAGGTCAGAAACAGCTGCATTTAATGTCAATTACAAGTGGTACTTCTACTACACATACATTCAGATCCATTTAAATGATCTCCCTTTTAGTATAATTTGAAAATTCAGTTGCTGTCTGTTTCTCTTATTAATCAAATGTGTGCATTTAAAGAACTATTTTGATATTGTTTCAGTCTGCTTTTTTCTTAGCTAAATCCCCTCACATCTCTTTTGTCTGATGGCAAAGCTAAACCCCCTGATAGGCGAATAATGAGGACTGCTATCAGGGGGGATTTTTGCAGGCTCCTGGGGGGATTGAGGGCACCACACTGAGAGTCCAGAACCTCAGGGATTACTAAGCCTACCCTTGTTCTTTGCTATCTTCTACAGGAGAGGTGATTCCAATATCCTGGGATCAGTTGATGGTAACATGCAGGAAAGCTGAATTTGCCTAATGGGGGTTACGGTAGAAGTGATAAACTTTACACCGGCCATAAATTGCAAATCATGATGAGGTGTAGCATGCCTAAAACAATTCTTTCGGCACTCACTTGTAAACTACTGTGCTGCCACAATATGCTGAAGGTCTATAAAGTATGATGTCCTGATACCCTTATGCCCCAAACATACAGATGAGGTGTTCCTGCGGCATATTTACTTTTACGATGCAGCATGGTCACATGACAGGTTAAAAGCACATTCTTTGCATTGCTGTCAAACTCCTAGGTGGTGTTGACATTTTTCTCAGTTGGAAGTGTAATTTGGCACCTTGGACAGTTGTCAGTACTTATTCATGCACTTTTTTTGATCCACAACTTTGAATAATGAATGTACATGAACTTAAGATTCACTTCTGTGTGTTATTTGGATTCCTTAGGGGCATTTGATGAGGGTTTTTTTTACCTTTATTACCCTTGGGAAGAGTAAGGAATCATTTTACAATCAATTAACTGGATGCCAACAGTGTTATATCCTTTTATTACCGCTCTACTGTGTTTTAAAAGTCAAAATAAAACCCACAACATTAATGCGGGAGAGAGTAATAGCTGCGAGCCATTTAAGGTTCATTGTGATAGCTACATCTGGACAGATATGTTCTTCCACCAGTTCTGCATGGAATTATTCTAATCTTCTAATCTTGAATTAAAAATTAATCCTATGTCAGGTCGTCCATGTAAGAGCATGCTTGTGTGTGCGGCGAAGCTCTGCTGGGATTTGACCTCAAGACCTTTCACCAACCGTTAATCTCTGTTTTGTTTGTATCACCCTAAGAGCCACTGACTCAGATGACACTGAATCAATGATTTCTAGACCAGTGGACTGACCTTAAGACCTTTAGACCTATCTGCAAAAGCTGAAGAATGGAGCTGAAATGGTCATCAAAGTATTGGATTTTTATTACATTAAATATGTCATATTTTTTTAAGTGTCCACTTTTCCTTTATCGTCGAGTGCTTATGTTCTTTGGAGGTTGCTGTTAAGAACGTTGAGACTTTTATACTCCTCCCATCATTCTAACATATAATCTTTTATTGTGCTGTTTAGCTAACTTTAGTGCACAAACATTTCTGCATCTTGACTCTAAATTATAAACATGAAGAAACAGTTGCCTGCTTAAAAAATGCACATTCTAATTTTTTGGTGAAATAATTTCAAATGATTTTATTTCCTTGGAAAATGTGACATTTTCACTGTCTGGAGGCTTCTAGGAACGGGGCCTTCTAACTGCCTGTGCTCTTTTGACTCGTCAGTTAAGCCTCACCCAAACTCAGTGTGATATGGGGAAAGCTTCCCCCTGTACCAATGCAACCAGAGGTCAAGGGAAGGCACTCCCACCCTCTCATTCCCATTTTTTTCCTGTCTCTGCTATTTCCCTCTCTCCTCATTGTGGGTTGCCATGGCAATGAAAGCACAGGGAGGGGGGGACCTCTATTATTGAAGCAGTTGTGGGATTGGTAGTGGGCTTGTGAGTTGTGAAATGGAGCAATTCATGCACTCATAAACAGAGAGTGCGGTGGAGCAGAAGGGAGGTGGAGGGGCTCGGGGTGAGGGAGAAAGAGATGAGGAAAAGGAGAATAGCATGGGGCCCCGGGGGTTAGCGGAGACAGGAGCCAACTCCACGTGTTTTGGCCCTGTTTCTATCTGATAGCACGTTTTAGAGCATTACATCATGGTCTGCGAGGCTCTGTGCTGTTTGAGACACTCTGCTGTGGAATCTTGCAGAATGTGCTCCAGTCGAAACCACCTGTTGTCGGGAGGCGTGGAAGACCAGCCCAACAACAGCACCGCGACATTAAAAATGGCAACGTATGATCAAAATTGAACATGGAACGACCCTGGACTGCGAGATAAATGTTTTTGTTAACATATAAAGTTTTATGTTTTAGTCATAACATCACAAACGTGTCCTCCTTGAGGATAAGGGACACATGAAACCCGCACGAACACCTCAGATTGTCTGCTGTGTTCCTAATCGGTTTCCTGCAGGAGACTGTTACAGTTACTGCTCTGCAGGACTGTTTATGTGAGCATCAAATAACATCAATGTGATTGTTGGAGTTTCCATTACATAGCATTGCTTTGCAGCAAGGTGAGCAATCATTTGTTTGATCATAATATTGGAGCTGTGAGCCTGTGAAAAACATACCATCATGTCTTCTGAAATAATATAAGCACAACACATGTGGAGGCTCAGGACACTTTCACATGAAAAGTTAGGAAGGGATAAACTCCTAATAGTTGTAATACTTGTCTGTTTGATCCTTGATAGCTATCTGAATGTATTATTTCCCTTTTAATTTGTTGATTTTGAGTTGAAAAACATTATTTTGTGTACAAGGTGATTTCATGCCAGTATGTGAATCCTCCAGCAACTTTAAGAGTTGTGTTTTTAAGTTATTTTTTTGTATTACTATTACCACTACCACTGTACATACAATATATCGAGATGTTTAGAAGGATTTTAAGTTGAATAGGAAGTGTGGGCACTTCTGAACTTTTAGCCATTTTACACAATAAGTTCTTCATTCTTAATTAACTTGATCTCAACTTAATTTATCCGAAAAAAGCTTTGAGTCCAAACACACCGTACCTGATATAGAATTTTATTCTAGTATTTTAGAGGAAACAGTCAAGTTTCACTCAAATGTCAAATTCACCACAAGAAAAAGATGATTTCAGTTAAACACTAGTATTCCCCCAACACCACAAAGAAGAGAAACACACAAAAAAACAATATTCCCACATTTTATTTCCCCTTCTCTGCCACAACTTTCTTAATCTATCTGGTACCCCTTCATATGCAGATGGGCCGCTGAGTCTCAACAGAAACTCAGCCAGAAACTGTTCCACATGTACAACCGGCATTACTAAAGAGTGATCGGTCTTTGCTTCACCACATTTAGGGATTGCAAACAATAGTTCCAGCAGTGGATCCATTTGGGGTTGATTAGTGTCACAGGCACGTTTTCCTTAAATTGTCCTTACAATGCTGCTTAAAATACAACATTTACTAAAGGCAAAGAACATTTATTGAGTAGTCTAAACTGCGGGCTTGGCCAACGGTCTGTGGGAGCATTCTGAACATTCCTGCTATTGTTGTTTGATTACTGAGCACTGCTTTACCCTTGCCTTTCATAGCAGCTGACCTCCAGACGGACTGGTGATTGTAGTGACCATGCTCCTTGGAGAAAGAGAAATATACAAGCACATTTTTGTAAACAGGAGGACAAAAACATGTTTTGCGAAATTTGCTCAGATTATCTAAAAAATTCTGGAACTGTTAACCATTTCATACATAGTTTCAAAGAATATCTGAGTGAGTAAATTTTAATTCTTATATTTGGTGCAAGCATTCGTGGTGCTCAAATCCCTCCGAGTTTAGGGATCTTATTTCCTAGAATTTATGGGTTTGATCTAAACTATTGGTTTAAATAAATGTATTCATATCTCCTTTGGTGAAATCTAAACTAAAGATATCCACTGACTTTTAAGGCCAAACTTTTCATTTTCATTAATAAATGTGACTTATTTTGTGATATTTGAGCCAGAAACATCAACAGAGAGCCTGGATTCGTCCAGTCCAAACAGTTCTGGTTCACAGCAGTGACTTGCTCCTCTTCTTTGACTGTACTTTGCCTCTTTTCAGGGGCAGTAGTCATGTTGGGTCTTGTTGAAAGAGCCCGACACTGAAAGGGGCGTGCAGGAGGAGACACAACTGGCTTTCATCACCAGCTCCTTTTTTCCAGCAGTTTCTGTAGTCTTCCATAAGCTCCGAGAGGGTCTCAAACCTGCTTTTGGTTCCTTTAATCCTTTTCATCTTTCCTTGACAGTCTCTTTTGTTGTTCCTTTTGTTTCCTGGAAGTGTATTTACTGATGCAATCATTTTGCCTAACTGGTGATGATTTTTGTTTACTCACATATTTTGCGTGTTCTCCCTTAACGACCCTCTGTGAGAGAATAAATGCTCACAGGGATCAAAGGCAGTTTAATGAGATATGTGCATGGTTGTGTGTGCGTTTGGTATGGAGGGAATCACTTTTTGTGAGGCAGAGTGCAGCTGCAGCTCCAAAATGAAGTCCTTTCTTAAGTAACCAGGGATGGATAGAAGACAAGAACCACCCCCCCACTTCCTGTGTGTAGAGACCCTGCTTGAGTGAGACACACTATCAGGTTACTTACAGAAACTGTGGGTGAAAAACAAAGAAATGAAGAGAATCTAAGAATAAAAGCATGAAAGGGCCTGAGTAAATCACCTCAGGTTCAATTTGAAGTATATTTTGAAGTCACACAACATTTAAACACATCTGAAGTCCAGTTAAGTGTGGACAGCTGAGTTTCTTTTACTGTTTCAAATCTACGCTGCTTTGAATGGCTCATTAGTACATTACAGCACACCAAAGTATGATAAAAAGAAACATGGCTCCTGACACTGAGGTATGCCCTTTCATTTTCTTATCGTGCTGCAAATAGCAGCTCCAGGTCTGTCTGTGGGTGCTGACCAAGAGGTTTTCTGACTTTAAAGAAGCAGATGAAATGAAAATTCATGAATTAAAGGTGAAGAATTTGCATCTTGGTCAGATAGGATACATGACTGGTTTCAGTCTTTTCATACAAATACATTTAGATGCACTGGTTGGCTTGTCTATCTCTAATTATACTGAACAAACTATTGGAGATAAGAAAGATGTTGTGAAGAGATAACAGGAAACACAATTTAGAAATGTGCAGTATATCAATAAAAAGCACGAAACCTGTGTATTGATGATTTTAATCTTTTTCAGTTCAATGAAGCTCATTTTACTTTTTTCAAATAGAAAAAAAAGTTTGGTTTCCTCCTGAAGGTTAGGGATTCCCTTTTGAGATTAGTCTGGCCACATATTTAAGTGTCCTCAGCAAACTCTTTCTCTATACGATGAGGAAAACTTTCAGAGCCTCCACTGAAAAAGAGTTGAACCAAAACCCAGCAATCTGTGTAGGCCTTTCAAATGAATGTAAATACAAGGAAAGGTGGTGAAAAAAGCTTTTTATTCTGTAACTGAGCGAAATAGTTTGTGTTTGGTTCTAGTACAATCTAAAAGAAGGAAGAAACCATTTTCCTACTCTTTCACAATATTTACTTGACTTGAAAGAAGTGGACGGCTGACGCATAATTGCTCCTCTGTCAGCAAATTCAACATCAAACTTATCTGTGATTAAATCATAGATAATTCTTTAATTCACTGGCTGTGATGTCATTAGTGGGACAGGGTCTTTGGCAAAACATTATAGTTGAGTCAAGCGTGGTGTGAATTTCTCAAAGATAATCAAGTCTTCCATTTTCAAAAGAATAAAAATAACAAATGAAAGTGGAACGAGCATACACACTGCAGGAACACCAGCCCCCGCGTCCTCCAACATCCCCCACTGTCCAGTGGCAAAGACAGGTGGCTCATGGGGGTTTTGGTGACACCACTCAACAGCTGCACAAAAGAGCCCCAATAGGGTCCTTTAGACAGGGTGTCCCCTCTCAAGCGTGCCAACAAGCCCCTGGCCCAGCCCCCCAGCCCCCCAGCCCAGCAGATGCTCCAATAGATCCACAGGTGGTAGATCACAGGACCTGTTGTAGTTGTTAAAAACGTTATGTAACAAAGGTCCATTCAGACGCACTTTTCATTGTCATGGATTTTATTCACCTTGGTTTTAAAATTAAAATATGGGGAATAAAATCATTAAATGGCCGTTGACTGAAATGTTTTCGATGCATCAGCCATCAATCATCCACAAGAGCAAGTCTGACAGGATAATCTTGTGTTTTTGTGTCACAGAAATGACTCACCTATCCTGTTGACTCCAGTGAACTATCCGAGTCTGGGTCCTGGGTCGTGGCCTGTGTGAAGATTGACCTCATATATCAACATGCAATGCACTGAAACTGAATATAAGATGTAAACATAGATATTTGACAGATGTTATAGCAGCCTACACTTATACTAAGGTGGTTGCAAAAACAAATCTTTCTCTTAAAAATAGTTCAAGAAAATACATTTAAGAGATGGAAATGCCACAGGTAGCGTACAGGTTAAAATGTAAACCTTCCAAAAATACTCGTGGCCAGTCAAATCCATGACTGCCAGCAAACTACAAAACACTTAAAGTTTTGCGGGTGAAGGAATTGATTATACAGCAGGGGTGCACATTGGTTTAGTCAGGTTCTCCTTTTTCTATAGACGTTATACTTCAACTTAATTTAACTTCAACGACATGCATTTCAATTTGTGGGTTCGTAAATGTTCAGCATAACCTCAAATTTTCGGCAGTCATAAACAATCTGTGCCATTAGCAGCAGATTGACCCCACGTTTGGTAATGGTACGGTCCTAGCCGGAGCGCAGTGGGATCGTCCACACAAGCGGAGCATCAGCTGTGGTGTGTCGTGGAGTGACAAACTTCCCTCCCCACCTCCGTGCTGCCCAAATTCCACCGGTCGGCTTTTTTTTTTGTCGTTGTTGAATTTAACTTTAGTCGGAAACAGAGCTTCAGACGACGGACGGGGGCTGTTTTTATTTTTATTTTTTATTTTTTCTTACAAATCGGGACGCGCTCGAAAGGATTTCCTGCCCACTTCGTTCAGACAGCTGGAGTGACTCGACCAAGTTTCCCCCCATTCTGCCTGAGGAATGAGAGGATCGCTGGAGAGGAAGGGCCGAAACTTGCACGTTTGAAGGGAACAAAAGGAGAGAAAGAGACGGAACTACCGCCGGAATGGAGGAAAATACTCTGCCCGGAGCAACATGTAAGTCTTCACCGAGAACCTGGGATCTGCCCTGGTGTGAAAATGTGCACGGTATCCTGGTCGTGTCTGCTCTTTGTGACGTTAGAACAAAATTTGGCGAACCCAAGTAGGTAATCGAGTTCCTAAGAGATGAGTGCATGATGGACGGTGCGGTCGGAAATAAATTTGAGATGAATTATGAATAAGTAATCCATTAGGAAGCGCACACACGCCGGGTCCGTAAACGTAACGCCAAACCCAAACCTTTCCATCTAATCCGACTCCTCAGGTTTGGGACATGTTCTGAATTCTCAGCGTGGTGAAATGCGGTATTTCAATTTGCCAATATTATCTAATCAAATAAAAACCATAGCATAATGGCCAGGGGAGTATTGATGGCTATCTGTGGGAGAAAATGTTTCCAGGGCAGAGAGCTCGGCCGTCGGGGTTTTAATAACACAATTTGCGCTAGATGAGGTAATCTCAAAAGTCCCATCCCATCCCCCTCCTTATGTTATGTTTAGCTCTCCACTAACGATGCACTCACAGGCTTTCTGGCATCCCTTGCTGCCTCCTCTCTGTAGTTCTGCTCCACCAGAGGACCCCCCCCCCCCCTCTTTTTAGTGGTGCACAGGTGCAGTCAGGCTCATTTTTGTACTGGTGCAGAGATGCACCAGCAAACTCCTGAAATCCACAAATGTTTGATGAGCTCAGTGCAGGCAAAAACGCGCAGGATACAGAGTCCACATCACCCTCTGCGCAGATCTGGCCCGGTGACACATTTTACACATGTGATTACAAACTCTGTGATGCCATGATGGCGCAGTTCAAGGCCGGGACGATGTCCTCCCTTTCGGCTGTATTATCAAATGTCCCGCTGGACACCCGCCAAGATGAAGCTGTAGGTCCAAGACACACCGACTTGGGACTACGCTTTCAGTCACCAGTGTGCCTTGATCTGCTGCCTGTTTCTGGAAATAGACGGGGACACACAATGCAACCCCCTTATCCCCCCCTCTGACAACAAAAAAACTTCCTTCCTGCTGACGGGAGGCTTCGGGGTGGTGGGGGGCGGTCAGTGTGTTTTGGCTCTGCATCAAACCGGAGGGGTAGATGTTCTCCTCCCTGATTGTGGGAATCTTGACCAGCAGCCTGCTGTGGTTTCAAAATGTTCTGGAAAACCGTAGTGAAACGAAGGACACCCTGACTCACAAAAAGGACACAGGTGATCACCCCATGCCACCAGCTTTCTCCTATAAGTGGCAGTGATGAGAATGTGTGGCGTAACAGCTCACTTATTACTATTACTTTGTCATAAGAATGTTTCACATCTGGACAAGTGAATCCAATGAGAGCCGAAGTCACTCCAACCTGGCTGCATACAAACGATAAACCCTTATAATGCCAGGGCATAAATCTGTGTGATGATGGAGCAGCATCAATCACGCACTGGAGTAGTGGCACCTGGAACCTGCTGCAAAGCGGGGAAAATCTCTCATCCCTTTGTTGAAACCCAGGCCCGGGATAGCTCATTTGTTCCGTCTCAAAGACTCGCCCTTGGAAAAGGAGCTGTTGAAAGCCTCGTCTGACATTGTGAAAATCTGCTGTCAGGGCTTCAAATCCCTCTTTTTTCTCCCCTCAGCCTTCTTCCTTTTCTTTTTTCTTCTTTCCTGAGATCTCCACTCTGGTGTTTTGACAGTCTGCATTTTGTGGTGGCCCTCTATAATCACAGTCCCTGAGCAACCCAGCATGTGACAAAGGGATATGGGAGACTCTTTAGTTTCCATTAGGGTTTGTGCCCTTTTATAGGCCATTCAACGCAGCACTGGTATTACAGTGGGTTTCTCCAGAGGTTCCAGATGCGTTGAGGAAAGAGAAGTGATGTGTTAAATTGCGCACACCTTGTTTTATATGGCCAAGTACTACACCAAAACCTCCACAGATTGACGGGATGAGCTCATGTTGTGATCCTTATATCACAATAGCGGAGAATCCACTTTGGCTATTAGGCCTGTAGTGAACACGATCAGTCAGCTAAAAAGTTTTGGCCACGGGGATTGTCATGCGATCAGGGATAAACATGCAAGAGCATCGAATTTTTGGAAACGCCTTAAGTGTCTTGTAAGTTACTGGATGGGATCTCGTGGGGCCTCCTCATTTCACCACCTAATTATAGACACTGTGGAAGGGGGGGTAATGATTGTTTTAGCATGGGGCTGATTGTTAGCACTGTGCTGGTGAAGTAAGTCAGCATGCTACAGAAGACCTTTCAGATGTGTGTAAAAGCACACGTGTCTGCTATGAATAAAGTATGTAGAATTTTGCGAAAAACACTGAAATGTAAGAGCCTCTAACCAAAATGATCCAGCTTCATGTATCTTTGTGAGCACATTGCATATTAACAGCGGGTAATAATCTTACTCCTACGTCAAACCTCAGGATTTGTTCTGCTTTTGTCAGAGGATGTCTTATCTTGTCAGCTTGAAATAGGGAAATGAAAAGGAAATCATTTCTATCAGTTTCCCCGTCGTTCTTTAATCTTTTTTCTACATTATTGAGTGGTGCACAAAGGCTGCCCGTCTGAGTGGAGCACATCCCACGCAATCCTTTAATTTAGCATTAGGCCTCAGTCACAGATTAACCTGTTAGTCGAATGGATTTTGAAAAAGATGTTTAAGTCTTAGCCACCTTTTTACAGAAAATATTTAACCCCAGTGTACCACTGATAGGATTTTAACCCTCAAATGACAAAAACGATAAACTAGCTCTTACACACAAAGTGGAACCACTCGTTAGCCGTGAAGATGAATAGACAGTTTTCCTTCAGCTGCACTGTTTGTTTAAGAGGGGCTTCCCAGTTCCACATGTGCAGATGGATTCAAAACCTGCGTTCAGCACATTTCATAGTGGGACTCAGTCATGTATGAAGTCTGGAGAGAGGCCCGAAAAGAGCAGCAGCATCTGAGTCACAAAGAAGTGAGCGAGGGCGCGCCGTGGCGTCGCGCTCTGCTCTTAAATCTGCTGCGTACTTTTAGACAATGACCTAATTGGAGCTATTTTTTGCTCCTCGGCTCCCTGCCGCACATGCTTTTTAATGAAACAGTAAAATGAAAATACGATAACGATGGGGTGAGTTTGTCTGATCAAAATTGCACAGAAACAAAAAATCAGCCCCTATAACGCGAATGGAGTTGAAGTCACTACTGAATCTATGTGTCCCGCCAGATTCATGTGAGTCATTCCTAAATATTTATAGAAATGACTTCGTACCTTCATATTAATTAACACAGCAGGTGGCTGTACTTTCCCATAAGCTCAACTCCCTGCATAGACGCAGTGTCACATCAGGGCCAGTCTGTAGCACCTAGATGGTATAAATCACGCTGCCCTAACACAGACCCCTCGGAAAGAACTACCGGTGAGATTCCAGCTCTGTTTTCCCATTAACACTTAAAGTGTGCTCAGCGTAGACAGACTGGACCAATATGTGTGCTGCTAGCTCCAGCTTGGTGGCACATTTTGAGTCCTGACGGGCAAATCAAATCAGCAAGCAGTGCAGATGTCTGATGTTCATGAAATAATGTCTAAAGCCAACACACGGCGGCAGCTCAGTCAATATTTGAGCAGTGGAGCGCACAGTCATCAGAGGGACAGCACTGCAGAGGCTGGACGTCAGCGCAGACACCTCATGAAGGCGATTGAACGAGCTGTGACGGAAACTTTAGAGATGCAGTCTGGAAGAGGAGAAACGGACGTTTCTGAAAGTGATGCAGCTGTGCGGCAGGAAAGCAGCTAAACGCCACACAACGTGCAGATTTCACACACAGAGTGTTGGAAGGCAGATCCTTCCTGACCTCGTCGCTGTCTCTCAGTTTTGACTGGTGACTCTGTGGTGGGTGCTGCAGCCTGAATGCATTATCTGCCAGCTGTGCCGTCTGCCTCCCAGGGACACAGGAGGAAGGGCGAGCACAGGGAAGTCTAGATTTGGATGGTGTTTCTTATTCCCGCAGCTTCCACCGGGACTGGAAATATCCCAGACGTGACTCCTTTGAGTTCTGTGTTCGTCTCAAAGTTCCAGTCACCGGACCTTTATGCTAATAATAGAACAGCGCGTTCTGCTAAAGGACATACCTACTTGTACTGTAAACAAATCTCGATCCACTTCATGATCCTTTGCCCATCCACCACTGATGACGACACAGATTTATTTATATTGTTTTTGTGTCTTCCACCCAAAGCGTTGCCTTTAAAGTCACCATTAAATCCCTGCATGCGCCTGTTTTTATCCCTCAAAGTAAATAAAACCTGCGGAACCTGCTCCTTCTGCTATGGTTACCTTTTGGTTTTCTTGCGGGGAGACAGAAATCCGCTTAATAGGGACTGCTGCATCTAATTGCATGGTGAACTGTCCTAAAACGACTGCTTGGGGATGATTTACCCCTGACGTAATGTTTTTGAGGACAGCCACATTGAATCGGCTCTGTGAGCTACCTCTGGAAGGGAGTCGTGCAGCCGTGGCTCTCTCTCAGCGTATCAGCCCCGTCCCGGTGAAAAAGTCAGGACTTCTCGCACATGAACGCCAGCCGTGACATTTTGAAGACGGTGTCCTAAAGGGCAGGAGGTTAAAAACGCAGATGATTTTATAGTGATTGAACAGGTCCATGTGCTAACAGAGAAGGTTGATTTCTGTCGGATTTATGGACTGTGGGTTTGTGCGCTGAGCTTCATAATTCTTTCAGCCTGTCAGTACATTTTTTTCATAAAGTAGCCACTGACTGCCTGCTCAGTGTCCAATCTGCTTGTAGTTTTGCACAAGTTTTTTAAATGTATTCCTTACGTCAGTCGCAAAGATGTAAAAACTTTTGTATCCCTCTAAAAAGTTGCATCTTTTGTGTGCACCGGTGTCATAGCCAGAAGCTCCTCATCTAGGTTCCGGAAGGCTCGCTGAAGCATTGTTCTTGCAGCCAAAAGGCTTTTGGTATAATCACCTTAGTGAAACATAAAATCGGGGTCACAGAAAA